GGTCACCAGCTCTTGTGCTTGCTACACCAGGAGTGGAGTTTCGATTTAAAGCTTTCGTGACTGCAGGGATTCATCTTCTTGGTTCTTTTGGTAAAGTCACGTAGAAGGGAAGTAATAAAATAATAAATAATAATAATAAAATTATTATGTTTTATTTTATTTATTTTATTATTTCTCTTCTACGTGACTTTACCGAAAGAACCAAGAAGACAGGAGAGGAGTGTTCGTTTATAGTGGCACGCTTTGTGATCTTCTCTTGGGGGGGATCGATACGTTGAGCATCGCTGGTGAAAGTCAACAACGTGGTGGTCATTGTCCTATAAATGTAAAAGAGAATGTGGAATGCCCGTCACTGTCTTAGATTCCAGCTGGACGTTGCTCAACTCGTCATCCAGGGTGATCCAACAACACCAAGATCACTGTCATTGCATTTTGTTGCTGCTCTCGCAGTCACTCCCCATTCTGGTACAGTGCGCAAGGCCTGACCTTTCAATAATGAGTCCTTCTAGAAGTAGTTTAACCGGTTTCCGTAAAATCGCAGTGCATTGTCAGCCGAAAGTAGTTCAAAACTGGCCCCCTGCAAGACTAGAAGAACGTGAAGTTTATGGTTGACACTTCTTCTCAATCTCAAGAGACTGGCATCTCGCTCCATGGCAGAGTGTTTATTTACAAAACAAAATTTCAGTTCCTGCAAACGCCCTCTAGCGAAGGGCCGTGCCACAAGACCAAGGGTCAAATGGCACTTATTTATATTTAACTGTGGCCACACGGAAACCGTGTTTTTGTACGAATACCAGATTTTGACATTTAAAAAAAAAGAACGTTGCCTGCAATACACCGCCATGATGAACAGCTGGGACATTGAAATGTTGCAGCAGTTGTCTGCTCGACAATTGCGTAATTGTACTTCCATCTTAAGAACAAAAGCAGAACATCACCAGGGCGATGAGCACATCTCCTTAACGAATGCCAAATGTGAAAGGCAAGCCACAGTCGTGGCCATACAACCCAAACTATGGACCATACATATTTTTGGTTCTTTCGGTAAAGTCACGTAGAAGGGAAATAATAAAATAAATATAAATATAAAACAACACCTGAATATGATTGCTTGTGTTGCACTCGAAACGTCGTGAGAATTTTTGTTGTTTTATATTTATATTATTTTATTATTTCCCTTCTACGTGACTTTACCGAAAGAACCAAGAATATGAATCCCTGCAGTCATGGAAACTTTAAATCAAAATTTAGATTATCTGTGTTGTTTTGTGTTTCTAAGTTTACTATGTTTTTTTTCTCATTTATTCTTACCTGATGATGGTTGCTTTTGTCGCAATCGAAACGTCGTATTCTACTATTATTTGATTTTATTTTCTACGTGACTTTACCGAAAGAACCAAGAATATGAATCCCTGCAGTCACGAAAGCTTTAAATCAAAATGTATGGACCATACAGAGTTAATCTGCTGTCTTCTGCCCTCCTGCAATGGAGGAGGAATGGAACACGACACGAACTCTCTCCCGAAGCCCTCTCATCGTAGCCAACAGCAGAGCTCAACATTGGCATTTAGCTCCTCAACATAATGCCATGCACAAGATTAGAATGCCTGACATGTAACTTAATTTCAGATAGAATGCAAAAAACGGACCTTGATATGCGTCCATGTCTCAGTGAGATATTCGAGTTACCTGGCAGCACGGCATCACCAACACATGCTGCGATACGAATGCTTCGGACTTGCATCTTGAAATAAATAGTTGACCAATATAAAATGGGACCTTGCCACTGCTTAATTGATGAAATATAGTGGGCACAAATCATACGATTTACACGATTGGAACCTCATTTGCCAGTAAAAAATATGATAATCGTTTTTTACCCTTCTATCTGGAAACAAAACTGACACCTTTTTTACAAGGAGTCATGTTTGCTTAGACCACAATACCTGCAGCCATAATGCAAAAAAAAACCATAACTCTGATAATATATGCACTGTCCTTGAAGTTGATTGGTCCATACCTGAGACAGCTTTCCTTAGAGCCTAGTCTCACATTTTTACTGTCAAATGAGGTTCCAATGGTGTAAATGCTTACCCCGAGCTCTCATACTCTGATGGTGCATTGTCTTTGAGTTGTGCGCCTTTTGGCGTCATCTGGTCCAACCCATGTGAGAGTAGGCTCTAAGGAAAGCTGTCTCGGGTGTGGACCAATCAACTTCAAGGACAGTGCATATATTATCAGTTATGTTTTTTGTTAGCATTATGGCTGCAGGTATTGTGGTCTATGCAAACATGACTCCTTGTAAAAAAGTATCAGTTTTGTTGCCAGATAGAAGGGTAAACAACCAATTATTAAATCATACGATCAATGGAGTTAATGCCTTTGTGACACATTTAGCCGACCTACTGCCAAGTGTTTCAGAGCGGCCTTTTCTGTTCAAACCACACGCATGCACGATGACAAATTCTCAATTTGCTGACCTTGAATATATTTTGCGAGCCAGGTCTAAAACAAAGGCAAATCGGGCATAATTTCAGGAATGGGTCTTACATTTTTGAGAAGTCGGAATTTTTGTCTTGCTGAACGCGTGCGGTATAATTAATCGACCACAGTGTGTCACATGGTGCAGTGGGTATAGCCGGTGGCGCAGCAATTTTAAAGAGCTCTACTCGCTGTGACAAAACACGCGGGTTCAAACCCTGCCCGGTATCAACTCGGCCCACCTGCTGCGCTCCAAGTGTGTCGGGAGTGGCCCGTGTCTCGGATTGGAATCCCCACCACAAGCTCCAACCCCAACTCCACGCTGGTTGGGTTTCTCACCGGCGGGGGGGGGAGGGGGGGTAACGACGCTTCGTCGATTAATACCGATTCTTAACGCTCGCATCGCACGCGTTTAAATGACGTGGGCGAATTTACGTCTTCTTGATAGCTCGTGCTATATTCAGACGCTGTCTTTCCGACAGACCTGTTCTTCACCTGAGGACGGCTGCTTGCGTTGTGGCCGAAACGTCGTGAGAATAATTTTATTTTGTTTTATTTTTATTATTTTATTATTTCCCTTCTATGTGACTTTACCGAAAGAACCAAGAAGATATATTCAAGCTCTTGCAGCAAATGAAAAAAAAACATAACAAACGAGACATGAATTTCGATGCTGCTAATTTTGCATAATGCATGGGCATAATATGACTTTGAAAACCCCCCCGCCCACCTCCTACGCATTTTCCATAAATATGCTAAATTCCTCTTGATATGCAAATTATTGTGTCAAGGCGCTCATCTTCCACCTCCAACCCAGCTTATATATACGCTCCAAGCTTGGCAGTGTTTCATTCTTCACCTGAAGACGGCTGCTTGCGTTGTAGCCGAAACGTCGTGAGAATTATTTTATTATGTTTTATTTTTATTATTTTATTACTTCCCTTCTACGTGACTTTACCGAAAGAACCAAGAAGATGAAACGAGACATGACCAATGATAAACAATGGAAATGAGATGGATAGAGAAAAAGAGGCAAAACAATTTAATGGATTCTTGAATCAAACCGCAGCCCTGAATCGAGACGATGCATGGAGTCACTGTGGGGGTGAATGGCTGTGGGGAGAGGGACGCTGCGATGGCAGTCGCTTTCCTTCGTGCGCTCTCAGCTTTGCCGAGTCCCTCCTGGTCACGAATATTGGCCGACAAAAACCCACGCGTCAAGTTAGGGTCACTTAGAGTTGCGCTGATGATGAGATGACCTTTGAACTGACCAGCTCTGAGACATCACACACCGAGCGCAAGGTCACTTGTTGTAATTGGTCACTTCAGATCCTGATTTTATTCACCACGCGCAGTTTCAATGTCGTGGCTTAAAGTTATGTTTCTGTGCTACAATAAGCAACCGTGTGGCACTTTAAACTACCTGCCTACTTACCTACCTGCCTTTGTGTCTGCCTGCCCAACAGATTGCTTACTTGCCTAGCTACATACTTAAAGACCTACCTACCCTTAAGCTCCATTACCTATGGTGCTTGCTTGCCATGGGCCCCAAGGCCTGTTTGCAGTGTGGAGCCCAGCATCACGAGTTCACTTATTCATGCGTGTCCCATTCTTACCGAGAAGTGATGCGTCATGCACGCCACATTGCGAAACTGTTGTCTCACTCTTGAACAAACGAGCAAATGGAGAAGTGAAAGTTGACGCTTGTGTTAACCGCCTGGCTCCTTGTGTGTGCCTTAGTCTGCTAGAACATGACGGAAGCTTGTGTTGCCTCCGAAACGTGATTTAAAAAAAAAAATTTGTATTTTATTTTTATTAATTTAAAATTTTTACCTACGTGACTTTACCGGAAAAAACCTAAGAATATGAATACTTGCAGTCACGAAAGCTTCAAATCTAGAAAGAACATGACAGGTTGGCATTGGGGTACACAGGTGGTGCATTTGCCAGTCATCTCGGTCAGTTAACACCTAAGACCCGGGTCTGTCTTGTAACCTGCCAGCGAGCCTTCCACGCTTCCCGTGGTATTAAAGTGGGGCTAGTTTGGCACAAGCGCGTGTGGGGAGCGATGGTGCAGCGGTTTTCGTGGGGAGTGGTAGTGCAATGGTTAGCAAGCTTCGCTACGAACCCGGCAGTCCGAGTTCAATTCCCGCCCACAGCCAACATCAGTGACGATTATCTGAACCAGTCCTGGGCCTCCCCGAGGTTGACTTGGGCTCATATGAGTATCTGGTGCGGTGTGCAAACATCAACCATCAGGTGCTGGCCACCCGCCCCCTTATGCACCGTTCCAGCCTTGATTAGGTGCTCGCTAAAAGTACTTGCCCCAACAGTCTGACGAAGGCTATACCGGGGGGGGGATCTTTGTCTTCGGTGCAGTGGTTATCACAGTGTGCTACGAACCCGATTCCCCCCCCCCCACCTCCGTGTACGTCCGCGGTGCCGAGCGACCCACTATCGGAGCGCCGCGCCGGCGCGTTACCGTCCGCCGCTCACCCCGGCTGGTTTTGCCGATCCAGGAGCGGAGGTCAGCGGAGATGTCGATGGAGCACGAGAGGCCGCCCCACCTGCAGATGAACGGAGCGCACGCCATGGGCTCCTCCCCGGTCGACGCCCAGGGGCCCCTGCGCATGGGCCCCGCGTCCTGCTCCGGGCCTCCTCCGTCCAGCCTCTTCTCGCCCGAGGAGACGGTGCAGCAGATCCGAGACCTGCTGCGCGAGAACGACGAGCTCAGGAGTGGGTCACGCGCGAGCCACCTCGCGCCTGCGAGCACAACGCACACTTAGCAGGCCAACGCATATGTGCCTATGTAGCAGCCGGCTCGCACGCGTATATTATTACACACTTGCCAGGCATGTACGTACGCTCTTATGGACGCGTGCACAACTTCCAGGGCTGCAAGCAGAAACGGAGCGTACCTACTGAGGCACGCAAGCCGATTTGGCTTTTTGATCGAGTTTGAGAGCGATCCACTTCCTTCATTTACTCTCAGCGCGGGGAATGACTCCGTGATTTAGCCTCTGAGGTCGATAAAACAAATACAGCTTTCGCACAAATCACTCGGGTTTGACTTTGCTCGTAGCAATTTAGCGGTTGCCTCGCCCCGCAGATGCCGTGAAGACCATGACGCAGACGATGCAGCAGCAGTACACGGACATCATGGCGTGGCGCGACGGGCTGCAGAAGGAGAAGGAGTTTGCCGTCGCCAAGTTCACGGAGGCCCGCATCAGCGTGGAGAGGCTGACGACCGAGTGCGATGGCTACAAGCGAAAGTTGCTGCAAGCGGAGAGGCAACTCCGCGGCGGTGAGGAGGACAACGACGAGGAGGGCGCCCGTGCGGAGGTAGGAGTCGCCTCTGTGCTGACGTTCACCGACCCCACCCCCCACACCCCCGACCCAGAGTAACGATTGTGACGGATCAGGAGGGAGATTGGCGGCCACAGAGCGCGGGATCTTTGTCACGCCGGCTTCTGGGGGTTACGATCGGCGATGCGATGCGGAGAGCGCTCGACTCGCTAGCGCAAGCTTGGGAGTTGAAATGCTTGAGGTGGGTAAAGGTATCGCGGTACATCTCTCTCGGGTCGGTACGGTCGACTGTCCACCGCCGGTTTTGATTGCCGTGTTGCGGTGTCTCCGTGCCCCTGCAGCCCAAAAGCGCGGGCTCTTCTCTGTCGACGCTGGCCAGCGCCTCGGCAAGCCTCGCCTGGGAGGATGACGTGGGCCACTTGGCAGCGAACATGAGGGTGAGATGCCCAATGGTGGATGCAAAGAAGGAAATAAACAGCCGGTGTTTTGAAGACGAGCGGCTAGGCCGTCTCTCCCAGCCCGTCCATTGCTAGTGCGCGAGATTCATTAGCTAACAAGGGCTTCGGGCGCGCTGCCGTAGCGCTCCCTCGTAGCGGCACAGCCACACGGAGCCCCCCGCTTGCCAGGTGGGAACCCGTGACCCCGGCACGATTCGCGGTGCATGCTGGGAGCCGCTCGGTGTTAGCCCGAGGAGCCCAGCGCGGTGACAACGGCCGGCTCGGGCGCGAACACCCAGGGCTCGCGTGCGTGGGGTACCCACCCAAAACCCTCGCACGCCATAACGCGTATCGATCGTTATCAACCAAATCGGGTCGTTTATGACAAGTGACCTGTCAGAGAGACGGTGCAAGATTGCGCGAGAGGGCCCGAGTCCAGTTCTACCATGGGATCACCGCAATCCAGGATGGCAGTATACCGGCACAACCTGCAACATAGCTGCTGGTTTGACCTGGTTCCGGCTTGGTTAGGCCTCCTCCCGGCCTGCTGTGGGTAGCAGGGCATGCCAAGGGCTTCCTGGGCCATGCCCTTCTCCCGCTCTCTCCTCTCCTGCACCCTCCACGAGGCCTCAGTCCCTCTGGACATCGCCAGAGCCCGAGCCCCCCCGCTGGTCGCTGCTTCTCCTGGCCACCTGTTGGCCTGCTGCTGCTGGAAGGCTGTTAGGCTTCCTCTTTGCCAAACCTTCTGCGAAAGCTCTGCTCTCCAGCCTGCACTCCATACCAAGCGCCCCCTGCAGCGCAATGCCGCATTGACTTTCCCGTTCCACCCACGAATGAACTACATCGTCATCCTCCAGCGAGCGTAAGGTTTAACTTACAGCCTTGAAGATTGGTTCTTGCCTGAGCGCGTGTGGTCCCCGAGTGGTGATAGTTTGATGTTGCGCTCCTCTGCACTTGACCACCTTCCCGGTCCTCTGTTTGTTCTGGCCCACCCCTTTATATACGCGAGCCAGCCACCGCCCCCTTCTGACTTGGCATTGCCTCATCGGACTCATCATGACGGCTGGGTCACCTGTTTCTACCTGCGGGCTTCAATTACCCCCCCGCCCGCCCCCCACCTGGCTTAATCAGCCCTAATGGACACCTCTGACAATAGGTGGCTGTTAACTGTATCGGGGTTCAGTTTTCCGTTTTCCTCCCATCGTTCAAGGCGCGCACGCACCCTCTAACTGGCATTGGCCACGCATGCCAAAGGTGAAAGATTACCTGCAGATTACTCGCTTGGTGTCACACAGCAGCAGCATCGCCTCCTACTTTGAAAACGTGGCGGGGACCCTCCTGAAAAGGAGTCTTAAGAAAACGAGCGGAATGAGTGAATTGGCGCTTTTTTACTCGGTGGCACGCGATGCAGAATCGTGATCTCTCATGAACTGGGGTCTTAGTAGTATGCACGAGAGTTGGAAGAAAACAAAAATTCACAGGGAAGGAACTGACGAGTTGCGATTGCACGAATCGGGAGAGGAGTTTGCGTGGCTTCAGCGACGTATGTTCCGTGACGCCCTCGTTGTCTGGAGCGGTGCGGTCCAACGCTGCCGTGCATCTCTTTAGGCGCCTATACACACCAGCCGTGGCTCTGTAGGAGTTTTCACTGGTGTCACACTTTAAATATCTGATTTCGCAGTTTCGTTGCGTAGCGTGGCTAGTCAAAGGTTGCGATTTAAACTCCCGGCCCTGTGTCGACTCAGCCCTTGGCGGTCAACGCGGTCGGCCCTGACGTGGGGTGGCAGCAGCGGTCATCCTTTGGACTGCGTGGTCCCCGCCGTGGGACTGTGGCTGTTGGCTCAGGACCTTATTTGCCAGCGTCATGTGCCAAGTTTGTGCCCCACATAGTAAAGTTGATATCACTGTTGGTTCAGAAGGAGAGTTGCGGACTATGTTTTGACCTACATTTCGATTTAAAGCTTTCGTGACTGCAGGGATTCATCTTCTTGGTTCTTTCGGTAAAGTCACGTATAAGGGAAGTAATAAATAATTATTTTTATTCTTTTTTATTTGTATTATTTTATTACTTGCCTTCTACGTGACTTTACCGAAAGAACCAAGAAGATTTGTTATCATGTTACAGTGTATTATTATCCGTTCTTTTTCCATTAAAAACGATAGTCCCATATAAGTGTTAACATTTGAAGCACCCTGTACTTGCCACGTGTGAGCGGCGGGCGGGGCTGGTTTGGCGCGCTGGGAGACTTTGCGTCGGCTTTGCCGCTGCGTGGAGAACGACCGTCGCCGTGCCCCCGTTTCAGCCGCGTCCCCGCCGCTCTCCGTCCGTCTCCACCGCCGCAGGCCCCGGGGGGCGAGCAGACCGAGTACGTGGTGCTGCTGCGCAACCAGAAGGAGCACCTGGAGGGCGAGGTGCACCACCTGAAGGAGCAGCTGCACAAGATGATGCAGGAGAAGGCGGAGGTGGTCGCCCTCAACAACGAGCTGCAGCTGCAGGCCAGTGCCGATGTGACGGACGGCGAGTCGAGCCCTCGCGCTGACGAGTCCTACGTGGAGATCCGGGTGAGGGCAGCGCTGGGCAGCGCGTGAGGGCGGCTCTGGGTAGCGCTGGGCAGCACTTGAGGGCAGCGCGTGAGGGCAGCTCTGGGTAGCGCGTGAGGGCAGCTCTGGGTAGCGCGTGAGGGCAGCTCTGGGTAGCTCTGGGCGGCACGTGAGGGCAGCTCTGGGTAGCGCGTGAGGGCAGCTCTGGGTAGCACTGGGCAGCAGCGTGAGGGCAGCGCGTGAGGGCAGCTCTGGGCGGCGCGTGAGGGCAGCTCTGGGCAGCGCGTGAGGGCAGCTCTGGGTAGCACTGGGCAGCGCGTGAGGGCAGCTCTGGGCAGCGCGTGAGGGCAGCTCTGGGCAGCGCGTGAGGGCAGCTCTGGGTAGCACTGGGCGGCGCGTGAGGGCAGCTCTGGGTAGCGCATGAGGGCAGCTCTGGGTAGCGCTGGGCAGCGCGTGAGGGCAGCTCTGGGCAGCGCGTGAGGGCAGCTCTGGGCAGCGCGTGGCCCTCCCGAGTCGCGCGAGCTACCCGCTGTCACTCTTGTAAACCGAGCCCTCCCTCGCATCTTGAGTTCTCACCTGGTTTTTGCGATTTTGAGATCCGTGTAACATCTTGTCGTTCGCCAGCATCGATTCAGGCAAGCCTGAATCTGCTGATGAGACGCTGAGCGTCGAAACTGGTCCAGAGTTGGCTTACGTTGAACCAATGACATTACGTGCTCCCAGAAGGCCGTGGGGCCGAGGGTTTGTGTAAAATATACTTAAATTATGTTGAGAGACCGATATGTGAAGGAGACATCCTCTGAATGGGTCTGTTTTGTCAATCTACAACCAGACCACCCTAATTGCGCCCAACCACTGCAATCCACGACCACATCGCCCAATTAACCCACGCAACCACAAACGGCTTGGCGAGGCCCTCGCCCAGCCGTGGATTGACACGCAGCCTCTACTCGTTCACGTGACATGCCATGGGGGTTGCAGGCAGGGCCCTCCCGGCTGTGTGACGTGTGGCCGTGTTGTGTCCGTGTCTCGCTGCGCAGGAGGTCGAAGGCTACATGGTGGAGCAGCCATCGCGGAGAGGGAAACACCTCAACCCGGAGAGCAGCAGCAGCAGCAGCATTGCAGCGTGAGTCTCCGCTCAAGGGTCAAAGGGCAAGCGTCGGGTCCCCTCGCGGGAGTAAGTGGTGTGTGGGCCAACGGCGCACGCGGGAAGCGGCCCGCTGACCGCCCACGAAGTTTGGGCACCTCTGCTCCGGGGTATGGGAGGCTCTGTAATCGCCGTGAACTCTGGGGGGGCCAGAGGAAGTAACCAGCCACGTGCGGCGGCAGCGACGTGCGGCGGCATCGACGCCGCTTGACGCGGTCTCCTCCGACGAGACGTGGGTGCGTGCGTGTGTGCGTGCGTGCGTGCGTGCGTGCGTGCGTGCGTGCGTGCGGTTGTCGCGCGAGCTGCGGCGAGAGCGCCTTGCGCGCGGTGGGTGGGGAGTGACGCGTGGCCGTGTTGCGGTGTGGCAGGCCGCTGGAGGAGGGCCGCACCTACAGCAGCTCCACGGAGCTGACCGTGAGCCGCCTGCTGCTGCAGCTGCAGGAGATGACTAAGCAGCGGCAGGAGGTCGACGAGCTTCTGCGCAAGAGCGAGCGCAGGTGTGGGCACGTGCGCTCGGCCTGCCGCAGCCGCACCGGCACCACCTCCACTACTACACCAGCATCGACACCACCACCACCACTACCACTGTCTCCTACATCAACACCACCTCTACCACCACCACCACCACTACCGCTGTCTCCTACACCAACACCACCTCCACCACTACTACACCAGCACCGACACCACCTCTATCACCACCACCGTCTCCTGTACCTCCTCCACCTCAAGCACCACCTCTACTACACCAGCACCACCACCTGTAGCAACAAGGTTGTATTTTTCTGCACTGCCTTGAGCGTGGACACGGCTTCCCTCTGCGCCCCATGCAGCTACACTGCCAGGGCCGGCATCGTGTCTAGCAACCACCCCTCCATCTCCAGCGTCTGTGGCTTCAGCAGCAACACCTCCTGCTGTCCGAGTGTCCGTTTCTCTGAGTGTCTTTGTCTGAGTGTCTTTGTCTGAGTGTCTTTGTCTGAGTGTCCGTTTCTCTGAGTGTCTTTGTCTGAGTGTCTTTGTCTGAGTGTCCGTTTCTCTGAGAGTCTTTGTCTGTCCACTTGTTTCTCGTTCTGTGTGCGTGCCTCTCTTTTTTCTCCGTCCACCCGTCTTCTTGTCTGTATTCACACGTGTCTGCCTCTCTGTCTCTCGTAATTCCCGGTACCCATTCACCTGTGTGTGCAAGTCTCTTTCGCACACCTTTCTGCCTGCCTGTTTGTCCATTTGTCTGTCATTCTCTTCTGTGTCCATCCATTCACCTGTCCATCTGTCTGCCTGTCCATCTGCCTTTCTCTTTGTCAGTTATGCATTTTATGTGCTGTGTGGGAGCGTAGCGGTTAGCGCTGCGCTGCCCCACAAACCACGCTACCCGAGATCGGTTCCCGCTCACGGTCAACACCGGTGACGATTATCTGAACCGCTCTCGGGGCCTCCCCTAGATCGACTCGGCCTCAAATGAGTACCCGGTGCGACGTGTAAATATCAGCGCCGGGGAGACAAAACCGGCCGGGGCGTGGCGCTGGCCACCCGCCCCCTCGCGCGCCGTTTCGACCTTCACGGGAACTGTCCGCCACCGGCACTCGATTGAAGGCGACGTGGTGGGGGGGGCGACGTCTGCCTGTGGTTTGCGCGCCGCAGCAAGGCGGAGCTAGAACTGCGCCTGTCGGAGGCGGAGAGCCGCCTGGCGGACGCCGTGGCGGAGACGGCGGCGCTGCGCGACGAGCTGAGCGTGCGCCTGCGCGACAAGGAGAGCGAGCTGGCGCAGCTCGCTGGCGCCAACAGCACGCACCGGCAGGACGCGCAGAAGCGCATCGAGGCGCTCATGCAGCAGATCGACGAGATGAAGCGCAGCCACGCCGAGAAGCAGGTGCGTCGCGGACGGGCGGACGCAGGCGGCGGGGGGGGGGGGGCCCTGAGCTGTTGAAACGCGCGCCGCCTGCCTCGCGTGTATGTCTGTACGTTGAAGTTCTTTCGAACCGTAACGTAGCCGACCGTGCTAATCACGGTGGGATTCGCAGATCACGTGACGTCACTCCTAGAAAAGTCGGCTGCCGCTGCGTTGCTGGCGGCACGGGCCAAGTTGTCCCAAATTTTTTTATCTCCACCGCAGTATTACGGAATTCGGAAGCCCCGCAACCGTCACAATCAATGCGCCGCTCGGCACAGTCGCGCCGAGCCGATGGGTCCCGTTTGGTGTGAGCGGGGAGTGCCAACGCCGCATATCTTTGGCAGCAATCACTGGAGGACGTGCAGATGCTCAAGTCCCAAGTGACCTCGCTGGTCGGGGAGCTGAACGAGGCGCAAAACAAGCTGCAGGCGGCCGAGACGCTCAAGAAGAACCTGCAGCAGCGGTGAGGACGGGGCCCCCCCTGCCAGCCCCCCCCCCCCCCCTTTCTGTCGACGTGATTGGCGTAGCGGCTATAAAGCCACGTGCATGTTGCGAACCCGGCTGCTGCTGGCTTCAGAGCTCACCAAGTGCCCTTGGAGAACGCTCACAGTGGACATGAGCTCACAGCGACCCATAGACTCGGAGACCCACACACTCACACAGAGACCCACACACTCCCACAGAGACCCGCTGGCTCGCACAGATCCATTGACACACGAGAGACCCACGTACTTATACAGAGACCCATAAACACAAAAAAAATGAGTATCACTCTGCGGGAAGTCACCTGTAGAAAGACTAGTCCCCCGTCATGTTGACGTGAAATTTTCCGCACCAACTGACCTGTGAACAGCCCTCAGCGTCGCTTTCCTTGTGAGGCGACCTGTGAACCGTGGTCACGAGTCCACCAAAAACAATCATTGCACGCCATCTCGTTGCATTGTGGGTAATACGTAAACGAACGTGCAGGGCATCCCAGGGGCGTATGTTTCACGAGCCAAGGCACTGCCGATGAACCCAGAGTTTGCCGATTGAAACCAAAGTTACCGGAGAACCAGAAGGCCCAGTGGGCCCTTCGTTTTGCTGGCCAGGACACCGCGCGATCTTATCGTGCAGCGTCGCCGGTAGCGTGCGTGTTAATGGGCAGCGATCCGCCAACGCATCTCAGAAAAGTCGAAACCGTCCCGACGGACACGTTTGGAAAGAGAATGCCGAGAGCGGTCGACGGACGCCTCCCCCGTCGCGCGTCTGTCGGGGCTCCGCTGCGTCACCTCCGGCGTGTTGCCCCCCCTTCAGGGTGCACGCCCTGGAGGCGAATCACAAGCGTCTGCAGGGCGAGGTGGAGGAGCAGCGGCAGCAGCACACGCTCGCCGTCACCCGCCTCACGCTGCAGTGCCACGACAGCGAGTCGGCCCTCAAGGCCGAGCGGCAGAAGTCCACCGAGGAGAAGTGAGTCGCGGGTCGTGGGTCGCGGGTCGAGAGTCGAGGGTCATGGGTCAAGGGTCGCGGGTCGTGGGTCACGGTCGTGCATCGAGGATCGCGGGTCAAGGGTCGTGGGTCAAGGGTCGTGGGTCACGGTCGTGCGTCGTGGGTTGAGGGTCGCAGGTCGTGGGTCACGGTCGTGCGTCGAGGGTCGTGGGTCGAGGGTCACGGGTCGTGCGTCGTGGGTCGAGGGTCAAGGGTCGTGGGTCACGGTCGTGCGTCGTGGGTCGTGGGTCGAGGGTCACGGGTCGTGCGTCGTGGGTCGAGGGTCGAGGGTCGTGGGTCACGGTCGTGCGTCGTGGGTCGTGCGTCGCGGGTCGAGGGTCATGGGTCACGGTCGTGCGTGGGGGTTGTCGGTGTTGAGTTGTGGCGATGGCGTTACTCAGCCCGCATTTACAGATTTGCCAAAACATGCGTTACCGTAACACGAACCCCCAAACCGCACGTCTCTTATTCTATCGACGGGCACTCGAGACTTCATGTGCCGAGCATCCCTCCACGAGCTTGAAGCTTGCACCAGTGTTGGTGGCACCGCCTCTTCCAGCTCGTGTCTGTGGTTCCTCAGCGATTGCGAGACTTGTATTAGCGACGCCGTATAAAACTTAACATTATTATCTGTAATGTGAACGGTGACTTTCTGAGGATGTCCGGTGACGTCGGTGGGACACGAGCAGATCCAAGTTGCCTTTTGCCGCCCATCAGTTTTGCTTTTGGTAACGAAATGAAACAGCGGCCAATTTGTTACTGGGGGTGGTCCGTGTCTGCGCCGTGCCCCGTCTCACCAGGCGCAAGCTGGCGCAGCTGCAGGCCGCCTACAACCAGCTGTTCGCAAACTACGACGAGCTCATCAAGGAAATGGAGCATCAGAAAAAAATGGTGGGTGTCACGGCGTTGCGCCGTGCGACGCGTTACCACGACCACTTAACAGCAGGCCGGCTCGGTTTGAGAACCGGGCCACAAGTGGGCCGAGACCAGGGCTCCACCGCAATCCTGGCGAGGTGGGCCAAGCGAGGCGAGGCCCGACTCGGCCACAGCGGCCCGCTTCGCCGAGGCGGCCGCCCTACCGTGCCCCCCGGCGGCCGTGTGTGACACCTACCCGCCCCCCCCCCCCCCCCCCGTGCCGTGCCGCGGCAGATGCCCGACCCTCGCGAGGCAATGCGCCTGCACGAGCAGCTGCACGAGAGCGAGCAGGCGCTGCTCGACAAGCAGGAGCTCATCGACAAGCTCAAGGGCGCCGTGGCCCGCAGCGAGGGCCAGCTGGACACCATGGCCGTGCTCAAGGCACAGGTGCGTGCGGACCCACGTGTGTCTGTGTGTGTGTCTTTGTGTGTTTGTGTGTGTCTGTGTGTGTGTGTGTGTATCTGTGTTTGTGTGTTTGTGTGTGTAATGCGGGGAGCGGTGGTGTAGCGGTTAGCGCTACGCTGCGCTATGAACCCGGTGATCAGAGTTCGATTCACACTCACGGCCAACACCAGTGACGATTATCTGAACCGGTCCTGGGCCTTCCCTAGGTCGACTCGGCCTCAAATGAGTACCTGGTGCGGTGTGTAGTAAACATCGCCACTGGGGAGACAAAGGCGGTCGGGCGTGGTGCTGGCCACCCACCCCCTCGTGTGCCGTTCCAGCCTTACATAGCTGCTCGCTAACAGCACTTGCCCCTACAGTCTGTCATTGCTACGGGGGACCTTTGTCTTTTGTAATGCTATGTGGAAGCTACCTGGTCTGTCGCTCCACACTGGTCTGAAGCACAAAGCTTCGGGTCTTCTCGGCCACAATCATACCCTCCCTTCTCTACGCTTGTGAAACGTGGATTAAAACCTGGCCACTAAAAGCACTCGCCCCAACGGCCCGTGTCGGTCACACGGGGGAGCTTTGTCTTCACGCGTGCGTGTGTGTGTGTGTGCGCGTGTTGCGCGGCCACGCGTGAGCCCTGAACCATCGAATAAACTTTTTGGGACTCCGTCGAGATGCATTGGAAGCCACGGGATGGCGGCGTGGCCCGTTCTCGCGCAGGCCGAGATTTTCAAGCTGGACTTCGAGGCGGAGCGGACGGCTCGCGAGGAGATGCACTGTGAGAAGGAGAGGCTGAAGGAGCAGCTGGCTGCCGTGCGGCTCGACAACGAGCGGATCAAGGACGAGCTCGAGGCCTACACGAGGTACCACACACACATACACCACACACACACAGCACACACACCACACACACACAGCAGGTACCACACACACAGCACACACACAGCACACACACAGCACACACACCACACAGCAGGTACCACATACACACAGCACACACACACACCACACACACACACCACACCAGGTACCACACACACAGCACACACCACGCACACTACACACACACACCACACACACACCACACCAGGTACCACACACACAGCACACACACAGCACACACCACACACACTACACACACCACGCATACTACACACACACCACGCATACTACACATACAGCACACACACACCACACCAGGTACCACACACACAGCACACACACAGCACACACCACGCACACTACACACACACACCACGCATACTACACACACACCACGCACACTCCACATGCACACTACACACAGCACACACACAGCACACACACTACACACACACACACTACGCACACTACACACACACCACACACATACAGCACACACACACCACACCTGGTACCACACGTACACCACACACATACACATACACCACACACACACCACACACACAGCACACACACCACAAGCACACACACAGCACACACACCACACACACACCACACACCAGGTACCACACACACAGCACACACACAGCACACACCACGCACACTACACACACACACCACGCATACTACACACACACCACGCACACTCCACACGCACACTACACACAGCACACACACAGCACACACACTACACACACACACACTACGCACACTACACACACACCACACACATACAGCACACACACACCACACCTGGTACCACACGTACAGCACACACATACACATACACCACACACACACACCACACACACAGCACACACACCACAAACACATACACCACACACACACCACACACGCCACACACACCACAAACACATACACACACACCGCACACGCACCACACAGCAGGTACCACACGTACACCACACACACATAGACCACACACCACAAACACATACACACACACCACGCACACTACACACACACACAGCACACACACACAGCAGGTATCACACACACACAACAGGTACCACACATACACCACATACACCACACACAGCAGGTACCACACATACACCACATACACCACACAGCACACACAGCAGGTACCACACATAGCGCACACACCAGGTTCCACACATACACAGCACACACACAGCACACACACAGCACACACACAGCACACACACAGCACACACACAGCACACACACAGCACACACACAGCACACACCACGCACACTACACACACACACCACGCATACTACACACACACCACGCACACTCCACACGCACACTACACACAGCACACACACAGCACACACACTACACACACACACACTACGCACACTACACACACACCACACACATACAGCACACACACACCACACCTGGTACCACACGTACAGCACACACATACACATACACCACACACACAGCACACACACCACAAACACATACACCACACACACACCACACACGCCACACACACCACAAACACATACACACACACCGCACACGCACCACACAGCAAGTACCACACGTACACCACACACACATACACCACACACCACAAACACATACACACACACCACGCACACTACACACACACACAGCACACACACACAGCACACACACAGCACACACACACAGCAGGTATCACACACACACAGCAGGTACCACACATACACCACATACACCACACAGCACACATAGCAGGTACCACACATAGCGCACACACCAGGTTCCACACATACACAGCACACACACAGCACACACACGACACCAGGTACCACGTGTGTGCACAGGGGCAGCTCACAGGTGGTGTGGCCATGCTGTGTGTGTGTGTGCAGAGGGCATCTCCACGATATGCAGAGACGCCACACGGGGCACTTCATGCAGGACGAGAGAGAGGCCGCCCCTCTGCCCCAGCCCCTGCCGAGTACGTGCACACACGCACGCACACGCCCACCCACGCACACCCACGCACACCCACGCACGCGCCCACGCACCCGGTGCATCCTTCCACCCCCTGGTCTTGCGCGTCGTTAGCGGAACCTTCCTAACGACGTGACGACCGAGCGATCTGTTGTTGTTGTTGTCGCCACCGCCGCTGCGTGCGCAGTGCCCAACCCGCCCCACGTGCAGCCGAACCAGATGCAGCACACGTGCCCCATTTGCAACTTCAACGCGCCCGACATGGACACGCTGCAGATCCACGTGCTCGACTGCATCCAGTAGCTGCGCCGCCGCCGCCGCGGGCTGGCGTGCCGCTAGCCGCTCGCCGTGCCCGCTCCTCCCACCACGTGATCGTCGCCGCGGACGCCCACCTTCACTCACGTGGTCACGTTAACGACGATAAGAATGACGATTCGGAGTCTCGTTTCGATTTAAGGTTTAGCCCCCGCCGTACAGTTAAGACTAAGAGTAGTGCTGCGGAGTGTGTAGGAGGAAGCTGTAGTGAGCTTCCGGAATAGAAAGGCACAGGAATGCGATGCCTCTGCCGATTTTGAATGTTCACGAATGTTCACGAATGTTAAGGCAATTGTTGCAAGTCCCACGGCGCACATTTGTCTGTGGTGTGGCCCGGCCGTGAGAGACCTCCACTTGAATCGTGAGTTCAGGACCCGATTCGTAGTCGACTTATCGACTACGAATTTGCAATTGCTGCAAGTCCCACGGCGGTTGCGTTATGAAGCGGCTTTCCCCCGGCCATAGAAACGTGGAATTTCCACCCTATTTCCTGAGTGGACTGACACCGAGCAGTGCTTCCCCGTCCCGCACTTCTGCTGGTAGATGCGTTCGACGCAAGTTGGTGAACGCTTGAGCCGGACATCTCCCTTCTGTAGCGAGCGTGGTCCAGAGCCAGTGGTGGAAATTCCACGTTGCTATGGCAGGGGGGGGAGTTTAAGTCTCGCCTTAAGATGCCCAATGCTGATTTTAACAATCCCACGGGGACGATGGTGTATGGGCCTGGACCCTCAACCAGAGCCTGTGACTCGGTTGAGTGTTCCAACCATGTTGCCGATGGGCTACATTTTAAAACGAGTGAACGGTAAAAGACTTTGAGACTCGCGCAGCGTGAATGTTGCAGTCCGTAATCATTTTAGAAACTCCACTCGAATTTAGGACGAATGCATTTTCCCCACGGACCAAACCGCAGATGCGTTTCCCGGGCAGCCGAGGCAGCGCACCAGATCTTGGCCGGCCGCCCCAACACAGACGCCAATTCCCAGACCGTCCGGGTCAAACCAGGAGAGGTGGGCTACCCCTGCTTGCATTTTAACATGTGGTCGGCTTTCGCGACACTTACTATTCGTAATACTAATTTTGGATCGCGTAAATATAAATGTGTCGTTGACCCGCCGCCGCCGCCGCCAGACAATGAGTAAGGTTTGTGACGTTCAGAGAGCGATGCATTATTATCCAGTGGATGGATGTTTAAGGTGCCGAGACGGGTGTTATTATTCACGTGGTTTTTAACTCAACAGATATCCTTAGGTTTTTTCGGTAAAGTCACATAGGTAAAAAAATTAAATAAAATGTAGCTTTTTTCGGTAAAGTCACGTAGGTAAAAAATTTAAATGAAATGTAGGTTTTTTTCGCTAAAGTCACGTAGGTAAAACATTTTAAGAAATTTTTTTTTTACCTACGTGACTTTACCGAAAAAACCTAAGAATATGAATCCTTGCAGTCACGAAAGCTTCAAATCTAGAATCAACAGATATCGTTAATTCTGGTGCACCGCATGCATTGGCCGTTTAAATTCCTCTCCCGTCTTGGGATGTTGGGTCGTCTTCCAAACGCGTTCTCACATGAACTTGAATGCCCTGGTAGCGTCTTCCTCAGGTGTGGAACATCAGGGGCCAATCATTTGTGACCCTGGGCCAATGGTGGAAATTCCACATTGATATGGCAGCAGAGGAGGGAGGGATGATGATGGCTCCAGTTCATCCTCTTGAGCAGGTTTCCGATTACGCCTCTGATTATTAAAATGTGGAATGTGTCTTGAACACGAAAGGAATTGTGAACAATGCTTCGCCTAAATACAATTACGTGGGAATTAACGGTCTGTGTGTACGCACTTTGTGGATTTTTTCCCATCAACCACGAAACAAATACAATGAAGCTCCATGTCATCGCACGACTTCTGTGAGAAAGAGCTTCATGGCTCTTCGAATTTCTCCACGATAAATATTCTGGCACCGTGGGAAAGCCTCCATCCAGCAGTGGATGGAGGCTTTCCCACGGCGTCACGATCCTGCGTGGACGACCTGCCATGCCACAGTCCGTCCCCTTCGCTGGAACCAACCCCGCTGTACACGGATGAGACAGTGGTCAGCGATGGTACTTCGCTCAAACTTGAGGTGTGGAATTCCTGAATATGTACAGCTGTAAAACCTTGGATTGCGAGCATAATTCGTTCCGGAAACCTGTTTGCAATCCAAAGCACTCAGTAGATCAGATGTGATCACGTGACGCTCGGCAGACAAAGCGTATACACGTACTACTCGTATTGCAAGACCCTCGCTCGTTTATCAAATTCATATTTATAAAAAGGAAATTGCTCGTCTTGCAAAACACTCGCAGACCAAGTTACTCGCAATCCGAGGTTTTACTGTGTGTGGAAAGCTCGCGACGAACAGGCGGCAGTGGCGTGCAGGGTTGGCTCGGGCTACTCGGTGTGATTGAAGGGACAGCGGAGAAACAACGACAACAATCCAGGATGCGAGGGTCAGGATGGTGGTTACCGTGTCGACCGGTGACGCTGCTTTTCAGTAGCTACCCTCGGACACTGCGATTGCGATCTCTGCTGCGGGAGGAGCGTGTCTCGTTCAAACGCCGATCGTGCCCGTCGCGAGCGAACTCGCAGGAGTCGAACACAACAACCGCGTGAGACGCCGAAGGATGAACGACTCCAGATCCTTGGGGACGAAGTGCACGATGACGCTGATGAACAAATGAAATGCGTACGCAGTAAACCGAGCACAGGCCTTTATAACCACAACCACATATATACAAATTAAATCATCGTTGAATTTACAAGGGAGATTTTACAGCATTTACTTTCTCAGATAAAATCCAAATTAAGTCTTAAGCAACAAACAACAGCAAGAGTGCAAAACAAAAAACGGTTACAACACACCAGATTCGGAGCGTGTCACGATCGCTCCCAGCCTTTAAACAGCTGCTGCAGCACAGCGCCACCCATCCCCACAGCGCCACCCACGCCGCCACCCATCCCCACGGCGCCACCCACCCCCAGAGTGGGTATTGAGCTCTGGGTCTGGGCTATAGAGTGGGTGTTGGGCTCTGGGTCTGGGCTATAGAGTGGGTGTTGGGCTCTGGGTCTGGGCTATAGATGGGTGTTGGGGCTCTGGGTCTGGGCTATAGAGTGGGTGTTGGGCTCTAGGTCTGGGCTATAGAGTGGGTGTTGGGCTCTGGGTCTGGGCTATAGAGTGGGTGTTGGGCTCTAGGTCTGGGCTATAGAGTGGGTGTTGGGCTCTGGGTCTGGGCTATAGAGTGGGTATTGAGCTCTGGGTCTGGGCTATAGAGTGGGTGTTGGGCTCTGGGTCTGGGCTATAGAGTGGGTGTTGGGCTCTAGGTCTGGGCTATAGAGTGGGTGTTGGGCTCTGGGTCTGGGCTATAGAGTGGGTGTTGGGCTCTGGGTCTGGGCTATAGAGTGGGTGTTGGGCTCTGGGTCTGGGCTATAGAGTGAGTGATGAGTTCTGGGTCTGGGCTATAGAGTGGGTGTTGGGCTCTGGGTCTGGGCTTGCATCGCTGGGTCACAGAAGCGCATCGCTGCGACGCATTGCCGAGCCCCACGTGGGCAACTTGGGCCTCCTCCGAGCGGAACATCAAGCCGAACGCAAGCAATGCCAAGTTGCGGCCCGCTGTTCGCGGCCCGCAGCGCTCGCGCGCCTCTTAGCGCCGGGCGCGAGCGGCAGCTCGTCCCGCGGTGCGAGAGACCAACTCGAGCGGGGGGCGGCTGCTGCCACGTAGGCCGCGGGGCCGGGCGGGTCCCACACCGGCGACTCGTCCCGGTTCGGACAGCCGAAGAGCGAGTGGTTAAAAAAGCGTGGACGTCAAACCCGGGCTTAAATAAAAACGCGCGCAAACGCTTTCCCCAGCTCGCGCCGACGCGACGGAAAGTCCAGCAGACGGCGACTGCCCCGCGGCCACCCGGCTCGCGAGGGGAAGCGCGCGGCTGTAAAATTGGGGGGGGGGGGGGGGGGCGGCGAACCGGGGTTCGGCGATGGCACGGAGACACCGCTGCGGCGCAACGCGCACGGCTATCGGCTCGCGCACCGCGTGCGTGGTTTATTAAAAGAGAAAATGGGGGTGGGGGGGGGGAAGAGAGGGAAAAATCCACAAGAGGCCACCGTGCGACACGCGTCACGACGGAGGGGCAGGGGTTGGGCTGCTCCTGAGGGACGGTGCGTGAAGCCCGGGTGTGCCGCTAAACCAAGACGGAGGCCAAAAACGGCGCGCGGCCGCGTGAGCGCGCGTCGGTGAAAACCGGTTAAATAAATAGGAGACGCCACTTGTTCCGCTGGGCAAGTGAAACGTGCGCGTGGCCCGGCACCCCACCGTCTACCCCAAAAATGTGCACTACCAGCAGACGCTGCTCAGCCGCACTGGCTGAGCAGCCTGTGAATAACAACGTTCACCCATTTAAAGCCTTCCCCCACCGGGACAGCCTCTCCCCGTCCTACTCAAAGAGAGAATGCCGTTTCTGTACCAAAGAAGAAAAAATAAAATCGACGCGCGAGTGGAGAACACAAACTCCGCAGCACAAATACGAGGAGCGGGAAGCCACTCGCTGTACTGCCCCACAACTCGTGGCAATCGCCCAAAAAATACGTGAGTGCCCAAAAACAAAACTTCAAGTTCCAAAATCCCCGCCGTGAGCCACACTTCCCGGTCGCTGGTTTGGAACGAGACCAAGACGCAGCGCGACGGGGAACCCGGCGGCACCACCGGAGCTCAACCCGTGGCCGTGACGTCCCAAACCCAGGGGAGGGCCGGTTGGCCGATTTGGTGCTGCAAAGTGAGGCTTGAAATCATCAAAATCAATAACCCAGAGAAGCCCACACCCAAGTCTGAAGGTTACTTTCCAGGAGGGTCCTTTGAGATGATTGGCCACCGCCAATGCCGTGGTGGTCGGCTTACGGGGCGCGTCGGCTCAAATCGGAACGCGCAGCGGCCCATCGTCCGTGTCACCGCTCGCGCCGCCGCTCACGCCTTGATCACGGCCGGGCCGGGAGATTCTCCGTGGCCAGGCAACGACCTGCCACAAGGCGGCGCTCGTGGCGATGAGCGCGCACGCGGCCCCTCGTGCACCCCACGGGGAACCCAGCGGCACCACCGCCGCTCAACCCGTGGCCGTGACGTCTCAAACCCAGGGGAGGACCGGCACGATAAGGCGGTGAACGTGGCAGACGAGACGTGACGCGCGCGCCAGGGCCTGGGAATGTGAGGAGGGGTCCTGGGAGTGTTTGGAGGGCCGGGGAGTGCTGGGGGGGTGGGGGGGCGGTGGGGAGGGGCTTGTCTTAGCAGTGTAAGGACAACCTGGGAGTGTGAGGGAGGACCCTGGGAATGTGAGGGGGGACCCTGGGAGTGTGGGGAGGGACTGCAGGAGTGTGGTCGCGGTGCAGGAGCGAGCGATACCAAGTCGCGGGGACGTGCGCTTGTCCCAGCGCTGGCTGCCGTGCTGCTGCGTGCCAACGCGACTTGCTCGGCGCCGGTCGGGGCAGCCGGACCGACCGGCCGCAGCTGCAGCGGCTATCGCCGTAGCTGCCGCCGCCGCGAGTGTGCGGCAGCCGAGCGCAGCGATTGCCGACGTCGCTGCACGAGTGCCCCCGGCCCGCGCCGTGCAACGGGCCGGTACCCTCCAACGGCTGCTCCGGTCACCGGGCAAACCCTCGTCACGCTGGGGAGTTTTCTAGGGCATCAAATGGAAACGTCGGGAAGTACCCTGCGCGTGCCCGCTGCTACTTTGCGCAACACCAAAATAGGAAAGAATCCAGTGTTTCCGCTTTGCACGCGATTTGCACGTGGATGCCCGAGCTGAGCCGAGCGGTCTCCGGCGCGACGCCGCTTGCGACCCCCCCCCCCCCCCCCCCGGTGCCGAGTGGACGCGCGAGCGCTCGACACGGGAGGGGGTCGTCACGCCGCAAAGCGCGTCACCCGAAAGCCTTACTGAGTACCGGCCGTGATCAGCGTCAGCGGCAAGAGGTATCTATCTTCGATTGTCCTGAGCCTCCCCAAGATTAACTCGGCCTTAAATTAGTACCTGGTACGGTGAGTAAACATCAGCACTGGGGAGAGACTAAGGTGTGTGTGTGTGTCAGAGCGTGTGTGTGTGTGAGAGAGCGAGTGTGTGTGTGAGAGTGAGTGTGTGTGTGAGAGTGAGCGTGTGTGTGAGAGTGAGCGTGTGTGTGTATGTGTGTGAGAGCGTGTGTGTGTGTGTGAGAGCGTGTGTGTGTGTGTGAGAGCGTGTGTGTGTGTGTGTGAGAGCGTGTGTGTGTGTGAGAGTGAGCGTGTGTGTGAGAGCGAGCGTGTGTGTGTCAGAGAGCGAGCGTGTGTGTGTGAGAGTGAACGTGTGTGTGTGTGTGTGTGAGAGCGAGGTGTGTGTGTGTGTGTGAGAGCGTGTGTGAGAGTGAGCGCGTGTGTGAGAGTGAGCGTGTGTGTGAGAGTGAGCGTGTGTGAGTGTGATCAGGTATGTGTGTGTGTGAGCGTGTGTGTGTGTGTGTGAGCATGTGTGTGTGTGTGTGTGAGAGCGTGTGTGTGTGTGAGAGCGAGTGTGTGTGTGGTGCTGGTCACCCCACCTCGCACCATTGTGTATCCTGCCCTGAATAGGTGCGCACAAACACAACTTGACAACTTGTCAAAGAGCTAATTAGACAATGAGGGTTACGTCTATTGTGTGAGAGCGAGCGTGTGTGTGTGAGAGCGAGCGTGTGTGAGAGAGTGAGCGTGTGTGTGTGTGTGTGTGAGACCGAGCGTGTGTGTGTGTGCGTGCGTGCGCGTGCGCGCGTGCGATTTGTCGGTCGTATCTGCAGCTCTGGAACCCGTTGGCAGGAGTGACAGAGCCTGGGCCCACCAAGCGGCACCGACGCGTCCCACGCACCACCGCTACTCCAGTATTTCCTGCAGCGACGTGCAGACGACACACACACACGCACACACGCACACACACACACGCACGCACACGCACGCACACACGCACGCACACACGCACACACGTACACACGCGCACACACACACAATCGTCATTCGTGGCACTGTGGAGAAAACAACTAAACACGCCCCCCCCTTCCCCTGTCTGTCCCCCTCCACATCAAAAAAATTTAAGTATATTTTACACATCCCATCAGTAACACGGCCCTTCTGCTGGGAGTGCAACATTTCAGCGGCGCTGGTTCAAGTCTGGACCGGTTTCGGCGTTCAGTGTCATCATCAGCAGGAGCCGGCCTTGCTCGGAGCAACGCTCGAACTTGGACTGCAGTCGGAATCTCAGCAACCGGCGGCTCAGTGCTCTGACACCACCATCACAAACCCCGTCAAACAAATCTGGACACCCAGACGGAGTGATGCGATGGTCTCGGCCCGCAGTCCTCACGGTCCCCGTGAGAGAACGAGAGCCTGGTGGTCCCCACGGTAACGAGAGCCTGGTGGTCCCCACGGTAACGAAAGCCTGGTGGTCCCCACGGTAACGAGCGCCTGGTGATCCCCACGGTAACGAGAGCCTGGTAGTCCCCACGGTAACCAGAGCCTGGTGGTCCCCACGGTGACGAGGGCCTGGTGGTCCCCACGGTAACGAGAGCCTGGTGGTCCCCACGGTAACGAGAGCCTGGTGGTCCCCACGGTAACGAGAGCCTGGTGGTCCCCACGGTAACGAGAGCCTGGTGGTCCCCACGGTAACGAGTGTCTGGTGGTCCCCACGGTAACGAGAGCCTGGTGGTCCCCACGGTAACGAGAGCCTGGTGGTCCCCACGGTAACGAGAGCCTGGTGGTCCCCACGGTAACCAGAGCCCAGTGGTCCCCACGGTAACGAGCGAGAACCCACCTCGTCCGAGTCGTCGCGGTAGAGGCTCTTGGCGGCCACGTCGACGTTGAGCAGGTGCTCATCCTGCTCCGTCTCCTCCTCGTTCTGCTTCAACTCGGAGTACTTGAAGACGTACGGGCTGGGGGGTGGGGGGGGGTCACGGGGGGGGGGGTGGGGGGGGAGGCACAGGGCGAGGTCACACAGAGGTCACGACCTCACCCAGTCCAGCTCACCCGCAAATGGGATTTCCGCGTGGCAGCGACGACCGCCCCGTCCAGCGAAACGTTGCCAGGACCCCTCCCCCTCCTAATACCGAGACTCGACGGGGCGCCAACGCGACAACGGAGGGACCGCTCTCGACCCGGCGGATGCGGTCACGGCAACGACCGAGGCCGTCGCTCGTACCTGCGCTTGCACATTCTCCTCCAGAGCAGCAGGCCGGAGAGCAGCAGCACCAGCGAGAGGATCGTGGTCACCGCCAGCACGATGCCCGTGTGCGTGCTCATCTGCTGCGCGGTCGGAAGGGGGCGGCGGACAACGGAGGGCGACGCGACTTTAAAACGACGCCGGTGGCGGCGGAAATCCGCGCGGGAGAACGTCACCTGCACACGCCGCGACGGGGCTCCCCGGACTCGGGCGGAGCAGCAACGGCGTGACGAGCCAACGGCGTGGGTCGGAGTGAAAAGCGGAAAAAAACGAAATCACCACCGCTGTTCCAGCAGATACCCACACGCCCGCGGCTGAGGAGCGGTGGCATAGCGGTGAGCGATACGCTACGAACCCGGCGACCCGAGTTCGATTCCCGCTCACGACCGCCACCAGTGACGATTATGTGAACCGGTCCTGGGCCTCCCCTAGCCTCAAGCGAATACCTGGTGCGGTTTGTAAACATCGCCACTGGGGAGACAAAGGCAGCCGGGCGTGGTGCTGGCCACCCACCCCCTCGCGTGCCGTACAGGCCTTTGTAGGTGCTGCTACTCGCCAACAGCGCCCGCCCCAACAGTCGTTACAGGCTACAGGGAGGATTACTCTTTGGTTCTTTTGGTAAAGTCACGCAGATAGAAAATAAGTTAAATAATAGAGTACGACGTTTCGATTGCAACACAAGCAATAGTCATCAGGTAGAACTCAATTTGAGAGAGAGACAAAACACAGACACGGAGACACACACACAGACACACAAGCAGAGAGAGACAACACAGAGACACACAGAGAGAGACACACAACATAGACACACAGACAGATACACAAGCAGAGAGAGACAACACAGAGACACACAACATAGACACACAGACAGACACACAAGCAGAGCGAGACAACACAGAGACACACAGAGAGAGACACACAAAATAGAGACACACAGACAGACACACAAGCAGAGAGAGACAACACAGAGACACAGAGAGAGACACACAACATAGACACACAGACAGACACATAAGCAGAGAGAGACTGCACAGAGACACACAGAGAGAGACACAACATAGACACACAGAGAGAGACAACACAACACAAATGAGGTTCAAATGGTGTAAATGCTTACCCCGAGCTCTCATACTCTGATGGTGCATTGTCTTTGAGTTGTGTGCCTTTTGGCGTCATCTGGTCCAACCCATGTGAGACTAGGCTCTAAGGAAAGCTGTCTCGGGTGTGGACCAATCAACTTCAAGGACAGTGCATACATTATCAGAGTTATGTTTTTTGTTTGCATTATGACTGCAGGTATTGTGGTCTATGCAAACATGACTCCTTGTAAAAAAAGGTGTCAGTTTTGTTGCCAGATAGAAGGGTAAAAAAACTATTATCATATTTTTTACTGGCAAATGAGGTTCCAATGGTGTAAAAACAAAATTTAGCAAATCTTTTGGAAATGTAATGCAATGCAACACAGAGAGTCGGCTAACACAGAGTTAACGCATAGCCTGGTTGATTACGATCTCCAAAGACTGCTAAAATTAGAAGTGTGAAATTTCACAAACAATTGGGGGTTCGTCGTCTTTGTGGTGCTCACGGCGGTGGTGGGGGCGACCAGCGTTCGGAGCAGCGAGTAGGTGCACGTCTTGTTGATGGTGATGAGCTGGCGCGCATGCTCCACTCCGCCCACGCACCGGTCCCCCGGGATCTTGCGGAATCTGTGCCCCGGGGGTGGGGGGCGGTGGTGGGGGGTGGTGGGGGGCGGGCAGATGGTGACAATGATGCCGATGGCCGCGACCGCGAGCGAAACCTCCTGCATCTCGTGTCTCTGCGTCTCTGTGTGTCTGTGTCTCTGTGTCTTGTGTCTCCGAGTCTCCGAGTCTCCGTGTCTCTCCGTGTCTCTCTGTGTCTCTCTGTGTCTCTCTGTGTCTCTCTGTGCGTCTGTGTCTCTGTGTGTCTGTGTCTCTGTGTCTCTGCATCTCTCTCTGTGTCTCTGTGTCTCTCTGTCTCTCTGTGTCTCTGTGTCTCTGTGTCTCTGCATCTCTCTCTGTGTCTCAGTGTCTCTCTGTCTCTCTGTGTCTCTGTGTGTCTGTCTCTGTGTCTCTGCGTCTCTGTGTGTCTGTGTCTCTGTGTGTCTATGTCACTGCGTCTCTCTCTCTGTGTATCTCTGTCATCCTGTGTCTCTGTGTCTCTCTGTGTCTCTCTATGTCTCTGCGTCTCTGCGTCTCTGCGTCTCTGCGTCCATTTAAGCGAGCCCTGGGCCCTCACCCCTGAGTCTTGATCTCCTCCACCTCGCCCGATAGGCAGATGTGGGGCAGCGTGCGGTCCGCCTTGTCCTCCGGCACGCAGTCGTCCTTCCCGTCGGGACGGTAGAAGCCGTAGTCACTGGGGAGGGGGAGCAAGCGGCAGAGGTGAGAGGTGAAACCCAACAACAGCAAGCCCCGTGAGATCTCCACATGAGGCCGCACTTCCTCCTCTGTACTTTAAAGGGCAGGTTGGCTGCCCGTCGGACGATCCCGAGGTGACATCGTCTTCCGAACGATGCGTTCATCCCGTTGTTCGGGATCACCTCCGGCAAGACGGCGCTGCCCAGCGACACGGCGACCGCCCGCTGGACGGAGGGCGCCCGGCGTCTGATCGCACTCCCCGTCCAGGAGACGTCTCTCCCCATTCTCACGCGGCGCGCCTCCCCCCCAACCACCGTCTGGCGAACGGCCGTTGACCGCGGAGCGTTCTCACCACGACGCGAGCTTCTCAACCCGCCCGGTGATGCCGCCGCCAACCGCCACGGCCCGTTCCGTGGTTTACGGGCGACGGGCAGCGAGGGGGAACGGTGCGGTCGGCTCCACGCCCTGCCACCTCTGTCTCCGCCGTGGCGATGTCGACACACGGATACCAGGTACTCATTTAAGGCGACCTAGGGGAGGCCCCGGCACCACTCCACGCGTATTCCAGCGGTGTTGGCCGTGACCGCCAATCGAACTTGGCTCGCCGGAATCGCAACGCGGCGCACGAATGACTGCGCCTACAGCTCCTCACGCGCGTGGTGGCGTGGGGAGCGGTGCATCACCGCCGGGAAGACAAACGCGGTACCAGTGCCAGCACGGTCTTCATCGGTGCTCATTACAGCACTTGCCCCGGCAATCTGTGGAGGCTTTACAAGGGGCTCTTTTGTCTTTATGACTTTGGTCGGAGGCCGGCGAGTGAAGTTGTTGACGGACTCGCAGAGCGACCGCGACCGCGACCGCGACCGCGTGCCCCCGTGGCAGCCACCACCGTCGGCGCCGCGCGACCACCACCGGCACTCCTCGCGCGCGGCCAGCCGGCGGCCGAGTCGGCCGGGGAGGTGTGGGCCGGGTACCCGAGCGCACGAGACACGGTCCTGAACGTCGCCTGTAACCCCCCCCCCCCGCGCGCATGCACCACATGTAGTCGTCGGAGGTGCAGGGGCAGGCGACGGAGCTGGCGGCGGTGACCTCGTAGTCGCGTCCGTTGCGGCACAGCGAGGCCTTGCGCAGGCGTAGGAAGGTCTCGTGCAGGCCCAGCACGCAGCCGTCCCACGCGTCCCCCGGCGCCCGCTCGTGGGCCTTCCACTGCAGGTAGTCGCTGTCCTCGCCTGCGCCGCTCGGGGGTACGGGCGGGGGGGGGAGACACGCTGCCACTCACGCACGCGGGACAAAGATCCCCCGTGTAGCCCTGACAGGCTTGTGTGGCGGCAAGCGCTGCTAAGCGAGCGCCTACGAGGCTCCGGCACGGCACGCGACGGGGCGGGATGCCAGCACTGCGCCCGGCGGCCTTTGCGTCGCGTCAAGGTACTCATTTGAGCAGACCTCGGGGAGGCCCAGGCCCAGAATAAATATTCGCAGGAAGCGAACCTGGGGTCACCGGGTTCACGGCTAACCGCTACACACAATGCTCCCCGCTGAATGGTGCGACCCCCGCTCGCCCGCACCCCCTGCGCGCGTGGGCACGGCCCCATGGCCCCACGGCCCCACGGCCACACGGCAGCTTTGTGTCGGAAGTGCGGGTGGGGTGGGGGGGGGGCTCCTCACAGTCGCGGGAGAGCAGCTCCTGGAAATCGATGGTGACGACGACCCAGACGTGCTCCGCGTAGCTCAACATGCGGTAGCCCCAGACGCTCACGTTCATCGACTTGGCGCCCGGCTCGGAGGCCAGGCCCGACACCACCATCTTCTGCCCGGTGAACGTGTACTCGTACCAGGTCTGGCCCTCATCCGTCGAGAACCTGGCGGGCGCCACCACCACCGCCGCCGCCGCCACCGCGTCACCAAAGGCAAAGATCCCCACACCTTATTGTAGCCTCAGCAGAGTTTCGGGGGCAAGTGCTGCTAGCGAGCGACACCTATGAAAGCCGGCACGGCACGCGAGGTGGTGGCCAGCTACGCAGCCTTTGCCTCCCTAGTGGCGATGTTTACGCATCACACCAGGCTGAGTAGAGCCTCCTGAAGGCCCAAAAACCGGTTCAAATAATCGTCACCGTCGGCTGCGAGCGGTGGCCGGGTTCGTAGTGCAGCGCACTAACCTACTGAACTGCCTGTGAAGAGCTTCATAGCTCATTGGATTCCTCAAGTGGGTGCGCGAGTGAGGGGCTGTGCGGCGTACTTGATGGTGTCCTGCATGAGCACCGCGCCGGACGGCACGGCGACGAGCAGCCCGCCGGAGTCGAGCACCGCGTAGTGGTGGGGGCCCTCCAGCACCTGGGCCCACGTGTAGCCACCGTCGTCCGACACGTACACGTCCACGTCCTCCACCGCCATGGCGTCCGCCACCGTGCCTGCGCGTCACGGCAGGCATCGGCGCGGTTGGCTACGTACGGTGCGAAAGAAGTTCCACGTACGCACGCGCGCGCCGTGCGCGCAACGGACGTACGTGCGGCGCCGCCAGCCCGACCCTCCGTGGCGCTGCACGGCGGCCGCCTCGCCCCCGGCCTCGCCGAGGCTCCAGCCCGGTTGGCCGCCGCACTAGGTTAGCGCGCGGTGTTGCCGCGCAAATTTTTTTTGTTTGGGGTGACGTCACGTACATGATCTGCCCCAAATTTGTGTTGTACAGTCACACGCCCACACACGCACGCTCGTAGTCACACACCCACGCACGCTCGTACACCGCCACGCACGCACGCGCTCCGCGGGGACGTACCGTGTGCTATGACGATGCCGACCGCATTGGGCTCGCTGAGCGGCACCTGCAGCACCGTGCTGTCCAGACTCATCGCGTAGTTGCCCAGGATGTGCAGACTGCACTGCTGGCAGAACGCACGCACGCACGCATGCAAAGATCCCCCCTGTAGCCTTAACAGACTGGCGGGGCGGGTGCTGGAAGCGGGTTGGAGCTACGGAGGAGGCCGGCAGGGCGCGCGAGGGGATATCGCGACGAGCGTCGAGTTGTGAAGTTGACGTCGCGTCGTGAGAGCGGTGTCACGGCACCCGCTCCCCACGGAGAGGCCCCCCGCGCAGCGGCACGGAGCCGGCAGCAGAAGCGGCAGTGGTGGTAGTGGTAACGGTGGTGACGGTGGTGATGGCGGTGACTGTGGTGGTGGCGGTGGTGGTGCTGACGGTGGTGGTGATGGTAGTGGTGGCAGTGACGATGGTGGTGGTGGTGGTGGTGGTGACGGTGGTGGCAGTGGTGATGGTGGTCGTGACGGTGGTGACGGTGGTGGCGGTGGTGACTGTGGTGGTAGTGACTGTGGTGGTAGTGACGGTGGTGGTGATGGCGGTGGTGACGATGATGGCAGTGGTGGTGGTGACGATGGTGGCAGTGGTGACGGTGGTGGCAGTGGTGATGGTGGTGGCGGTGACGATGGTGGTGATGGTGACGGTGGTGGCAGTGGTGACGATGGTGGCAGTGGTGATGGTGGTGGTGGTGATGGTAATGGTGGTGGTGACGGTGGTGGTGATGGTGGTGGTGACGGTGGTGGCAGTGGTGACGGTGGTGGCAGTGGTGATGGTGGTGGTGGTGATGGTGATGGTGGTGGTGACGGTGGTGGCACCTGCGAGCCCGAAGCGCAGCGGGAGGAGACGGGCTTCTCGATCGGGCGCCACTCCCCGCCGCGGTCGAACGAGATGAGCGAGCGCACCGTGCCGTCTGTCGGAGCAACACGGAGCGGACGTCACGGGCGCAGCGGCGGCAGCGGCTGGCGAGCGGCAACCCGCGCTGGGTTCCCGCCAGGAGGATGGGTGTGGGGGAGGAGGTGGGGCGCATGCAACACACGGGTGGGTTCGACGCGCTTCCGCGTCGGTTTGCACACTCGTGCAACCAGCACCCACAATTCTTTTGGATTTTTTCGTAACTTAAGTTGACGAGGAATGGTTCTTCTTTTACCGGAAATTGCATATAACGTCCATTCATCTTTCTGCGCCGTTTTAAAATTCTTCCGTAACGAGGTTGCTTTGCACCGATTTCTATTCGCTTCACCGCCGCTCTTGATGTTTTTTTACGCGATCGCTTTCGTCAACGCGGTGACCCGGGGCTACGGTCGCCCTCCCAAACTCGGGAGCGGCTATCCCGCCCTCGGCGAACTCCCCGACGGTCCGAGGCAGAATATCGACGTTGGGCGAGAGGCGATCCGCACCGTCGTTGATCTGGCTGGTGAGCAGCACGCCCCTGAGCGAGGTGACGTTGGTGAAGTCCGTCACGACGCCCTGGTTGCTGTAGAGGTGGCGCTGCAGCGACACGGAGAACACCAGGCCGCGGTCGTCCGAGGCGTACAGCGTCCCGTGGCCCGAGTCTGCGGGCAGACGCGCGGCCGGGGTTAGCGTTGCCGGGGCCCTCGCCAAAACATTAGAAACATTCCAAGGGCACCCCCAGTGGCAGCTGTCCCTGCGTGGCACAAATCAACTCGGCAACTGACCTGCAAAAGGGCATTAGTCCGCCCGCAGGGGTGGCAATGATTGCTATAAAATCCCAATTGAGTAATTTTCAGGTAAAATGTGGGCGCTGATGCTGGCACACAATGGCCTACTAATTTTGATTGACGGTCAGGGGCTCTCTGATGCCCACCGAGTGAAACAGATGGCGTGGAGCATTTGTGTTACGGTCAGTAGGAGGAAACGATGTAACCGGGCAGACAGACCTCCAGGCCCATCCACGTGCATGAAGATCATGTCCTGGGTCGCAGCCAGGATCGAGTAGAACTGCGAATCAACATTGAAAGAACACGGCACGCACGCACGCCTCGTTACACAGAGATACACGGAAATATGCACGAGACAATGATCCCCCTGACAGAACGTCGGGGGCTGTTGCGAGTAGCGTCTGTGAAAGCCAGCACGACACACGAGGAGGTGGGTGGCTAGCACCACGCACCAAACACCCAGTTGAGGCCGTGTCAACCTACGGGAGGGGCCAGGGCCGGTTCAGATAATCGTCACTGGCGTCGGCCATCAACGGGAATCGAACTCGGGTCTCTGCCGGGGATCCTGGCGCAGCGCGGTTAAACTGCGGCGACACCGCTCCACACACACACACACCGTCGTGCCCACCGCCCCTCTCACGCGTCACCGCCGCTCAGCCACGTTACCTGGTCCTCTTTGACGGGCGGCACCTGGGCGATGTTCCAGCTGTTGCCCTGGTCCGACGATACGTGGACCACACGTGTCATGTTCTACGCGGACACAGGGAAGGTGCGGGCGGCGGGGGTCACGCGATGGGCCAGAGACGTAGTGCTTGCCGAGCGACGGGTGAGTCGTGCGCGTTTCTTGCGAGCGGCGAACGAGTGGTCGGGTGTCATGGTGCAAGAAAGGCCATTGCTCAAAGCGTCACCGTCACGTGTATATTACACATTTCAGTTTAAGGCCACGGTGTCATTGACGGATGTCCGTTCAAGGCCATTACGAGCCAAGAGCCAACGCCGTCACGGCGGGGTTTTGCGGATCGCGCCCGAGATCACTGCCGCCGCGCCGTGTAGCGGCGACGACGACACGCGGAGAGGGGGCGGGGGCGCGGCGGTGCCGAGCTCACCGCCGAGAACACGATGGAGGCGTAGAGGAAGGGCCCCCCCAGGCCGAAGGAGTAGACGTTCTGGGCGACAATCGTGAACGTCAGGCCCAGGTCCGTGGACCTCTTCATCAGGAACTTGCCGAGCGGAGGACGAACTGCTCCCGCGGACGACAGACGGAGTCACCGCCGCCCCTCCTGGTCTCGCGCGCCGCTCCCGGCGAAGCCGTCGCGTGCCGGGCGTCAGGGCCCAAGTTTCGATTGAAATTACCCGCAAATTACACGAGTTCGTGACTGCGTATATAGCAATCGTCGCGCTCTACCACAAAAACGCGGCAGGACCCTCCTGAAAAAAGAGTCATGAGACTAGGCAGACGCTTTCCTCGGTAAGCCAGCGTACCGAGAATAATAATAATAGAACCCTGCCTTGCGTGTCCACACAGAGACTATGTCAACACTGGGTCACCATCAGCATCATCCACTGTGCCCTAAACAAACCGTCTGCAGCTGTCCTTGCTGTCCCTAGGTTAATATTAACACACAGATTAGATACGCACACTCCTTGCTGCTTGAAACTCAAATCTGTAAATGATGAGAAAAAGCCACAACAGATAAAATTCGCTAACACGGCCCCACGTTCGGATCTCCTGAAGCGGTGGTCTGGGCAAGGCCGAGGGCGTCCGTAACACGCAATGCTGCACACCTCTGCGTGCTCTTGCGCGCATTTAAATTGAAAGCAGCAATGAGTTGTTCTAAGTGTACTCTCTGCACCAGGCAACTTACAGACGTCACTCATGAGCGGGTATGTGGTGATAAACAGCGTCCCATTGCTTGACCTGCGGATGACAGCAAGAGGCAGGGTGGTGACTCGCGCACACTCACACACACGTAAGAACGCGCCCTTGGCGCTGTTCAGGCGACGAGGCCCTGGATGCGTGAAGGTTGGCACGAACGAGGGGCAGCAATCGTCTTAGCGGTCTGAGCCAGCGGTGGAAATTCCACGTTCACATGCTGAGAACGCAACGCTATGTCGGATGACCACGATTGGTTTCACGCACAGCGGGGCTCAATTTATCGTGGCGACGACGATGGGTTTAGTCACGTGCTCTAACCCGAGCACTGCGTCGCCGGAGAGTGCATGCACTACGTGGGAGAGGTGTGCGTGCTTTTATGCAGGTGCCGACTTCAATAACTCAGCAGTTCGCGACATGGTCAGGGCTAACGTCAGTGACCAGTGATATCAGAACCGGTCCCAGGTGCCCACTTCACCAGACCGACGTGGTGGAGTAAGCTACAACTACCCCACACTGACCGACGTGAAGTAAGCTACAACTACCACACACTGACCGACGTGGTGGAGTAAGCTACAACTACCACACACTGACCGACGTGGTGGAGTAAGCTACGACTACCACGCACGACCTACACTGTGTGCGAGGAAGCCCTTAATCCAGTAGTGGTTACAAAAGCTCAAAAGTGTGTTTTATTAACATATCAATCATCGCACCCCAACCCGCCGTGACATTAAACCGGCTGGCTTAGGGCGGCGAGGCCGAAGGAGCGGCGCGTGGGGGCGGCTGTGAGCGCGTGTGACCGCGAGTGGCAGGCTCACCATTTGTACATGAAGACAAACTGGTGGAGTAGGCGCCACGATTTCCCAAAGTCCGTGGTGATGTACAGGGAGGACTGCAGCGGGAACACGGTCACAAGTCAGCGCTGTGCCTGCCATGACAGCGCAGGCAACCGCGGCGGCCACCTGCGTTGCCTCGTTTAACGCCAGGTGCAACACCTGGGTTAACAGAGTCGCGGCCGGCTCTGCAACTCGGAGGAACTTTGCTCAAAACGGCGTTCAACAAAGTTGCTGTTGCACCGGCAAGACGCGCTCCGCTGTTTGAATCCCTGTGGCGGCGTGCGAACGTTCGTGAACTCCGGTCATCCTTGCAGCGGCGGCTTTTGGCTAAACATCGAACGAAGACGGCAGTCACCGCATCGCACGCTTTCAGGTGCGCTTCTGCGGACATCTGGAACGCTCTTCCTGCCGATGTTAGGCAGCCGCTGGGGCCATGCACCTTTAAATCTTTAGAACGGCTTTCTGCGCTTAGCCTTGTTGTCATTCCCCCGCACCTCCGACGAGCACGGTGTGGCCACGTACGGTGCGAAAGAAGTTCAACTAAATTTCTGTCTTTCCGACAGACCTGTTCTTCACCTGACGACGGCTGCTTGCGTTGTGGCCGAAAGGTCGTGAGAATGATTTTATCATGTTTTATTTTTATTATTTTAATATTTCCCTTCTACGCGATGACTTTACCGAAAGAACCAAGAAGAAGTTCAACTAACACACACATACGTACGGACAACGCGAGGCCCGCAACTTTGCGCGAGCACCGAGAGCTTCCTCGCTTAACCGGCGCCCCTGAACGCGACTCCAGCACCGAGAGGTGGGCAAGGCCGCTCGGCGAGAGCTGTGGCCACCTACATCAGCTACGACGTGGGCGAGCAGAACGTCGGGCAGCGTCGGGTGGAACTGCATCTGTGCCAGCGGCTGGAAGGGCAGCGTGTGCGAAACGAAGTTCCTTCCTCCGTCCTTGGAGCCCACGAAGAACCAAACCATTGGCATCATGGTGGACGACAGGATCACCACCTGTCTCCCGCACGCACAGGATAGCAAGTCCAGCATAAAACATACACACAACATAGCACATACACACACACAGCACATACACACAGCACAACACACACAGCACATACACAACACACACACAACACACACACACAGCACATACACAACACACACACACAGCACATACACAACACACACACACAGCACATACACAGCACATACACAACACACACACACAGCACATACACAACACACACACACAGCACATACACAACACACACACACAGCACAACACACACACACAGCACATACACAACACACACACACAGCACAACACACACACACAGCACATATACAACACACACACAACACACACACAGCATAGCACATACACAACACACACAGCAGATCACACACAGCACATACACACACAGCACATACACACATGCAGCACATACACACACACACACAGCACTCACACAACACACACACAGCATAGCACATACACAACACATACACAACACACACACAGCACATACACAACACACACACAGTTTAATGCCTAGGAGGAGGCTTTCGCGACCAATATAATCCATAAGAGGTTTTTGGGTTAGATCGCGTAAATATCTAAATGTGTCGTTAAAACCCGCCACCACCCGACACAGCAAACTAGTAAGGGTGGTCACGTAAACAGAACGTGGCCAATTCGTCACTAGTACAGCAACACCGGTGTGTTGGAAAGCCAAGCCACAACATTTGTTATGTTGGGCAAACAGGACGAATGATCAGCACAAGACTAAAAGAACATCAGAGAAATATTAAATTATCCCAAATACAACTGTCAGCAGCAGCAGAACACACGTGCCAACAAGACGCTCAATTGATTTTGATAATGTTGAAGTTTTGTGCAAAACTAGCTACATCTACGCCTCTATATAAGGAACGTAACAGTAAGATTTCTCCACAAATCTGGCTGTCGCCTGATGAAGCTATTTGTAATTACTGGCGAAACGTCGTACTCAGATTGTAAATGTTGTGGCTTGGCTCTCCAACACACCGGTGTGCTGTAGTAGTATACTACACTATACACTACACTTTACACTACACACTACACTACTATACACTACACACTACACTATACACTACACTACTAAACTACACTATACACTACACACGAGTGCTGTACTAGTGACGAATTGGCCACGTTCTGTTTACGTGACAACCCTTACTCGTTGGCCGTGTCGGGTGGTGGTGGGTTTAACGACACATTTATACATTTACGCGATCTAACCCAAAAACCTCTATTATGAACACACACACAGCATAGCACGCACACAGTATATAATACACACACAGCACACACGTGCGCGCGTGCGCATACGTTACCCGGTTTGCGTTGCCCGGGTCGACCAGGATTCCAAGTTCACTCTCCACGTTGTTGCCCGAAATCAGGCTCGTGATGTCTGTGAAGTTCTTTCCGTAGTTCTCACTGCAACGAAACGCTCGGCGTCAAACTCCGGGGTGATCTTTGCGCATTCGCTCTCTGCCAACACACTCGTGGGGGCGTAACGAAACGATGCGGCCGCACAGGGGCAGGTCTACGGAGGTGGCGGTCGCGTTTTAAAATGCGTTCGGAGCTGAGTCAATTGCCCCAACGTGTCGGTCCGCTGCTCTGCGGTGGCCATCGACACTACGCACCGGTGGGGGCTGGGGGGGGGGTTTCACCGCACCGGGGGAAGTTTCAACGCACCGGGGGGGGGGGGGGGGGGGGCGGAGTGAACGTGAGTTCACACCGTCACGAGCGCCGTCTCGGTGACTGAAATGCCCGTGAACGAACTCCCGCGGAACCCGCGAACGAATCGCCAACCACCTCGACATTTCAAGAGAACTACATCGTCTCCGTGAAAGGCAACTCTCTCTGCCCGTGCAACCAGCGCCACAGATCAACTCTGCTGACGAGACACCGCAAAGTCGAAACCGGTGCAGGGTTTGCGTGCCTTGAAACGATGCTGCTGAACCAATGTTGCTGAAATGATGCACTTCCAGAAGGCCGTGTGGCTGATGGGCTGCGTAAGAAGTACTTTTATTTCTAGATTCGAAGCTTTCGTGACTGCAAGGATTCATACTCTTAGTTCTTTCAGTAAAGTCACGTAGGTAAAAAATGAAATTTAAATTCATAAAAAGAAAATAATAAAAATCACGACGTTTCAGGGGCAACACAAGTCTCCGTCATCAGGTGGGACCGTCACAGCCAGATTTGCTGTACCATTATATTATTTTAATTAATTTTAATTGAATTTTTTACCTACGTGACTTTACCGAAAAAACTAAGAGTACGTACTTTTGTATCTTAAGCGGAGAGATGGATGTGCGAAAGAAACACGCCGCCTGCTTATTTACTTTGTTATTGATATTCGCCACGAGGACGTGCATGATTATTTTGGAGTTGTGCACAGTTAAGTTCAGCTCTCACCAGGTTCATGCCGCAGTGTGCCGACCACTACTCCCCGGCTCCACCGTGTTCAAGCGAACGTGAATTAGGCCGAGGAATCGCCCAGGCGGCAACAGCAGCAGCAGCAGCATCACTTAGCTGTGCCTGTGGCCGCGTGGTGTGAGCCGGTGTGCATTGGCTGCTGTTGCCTGTCTTCACAGACACTCATGCTGATGGCAATTCTACTCCTGCACGTGTCTATCCCTTACGCGTAAAACATTTTTCAGTTTTGTTTTGTACTCATCCGTCGCACGGACTCCTGGAAAGGCATAATTCAGCAGCATCTAATTGCGCTTCATAACCAGCCTCTTAATTAGCAAGCGAGACTCCTAATGAGTCTCCAATTTGCAAGTGAGACTCTTACCGAATCTCTCATTAGCAAGCACGATTACTAATTAGCCTCTCATTAGCGAGCGAGTAGGCCACTGTGGTGGCTGCGTCATGGTCCAAATTTGCCAAATTGAAAAAACTTACGACGCAAATGACTCACTTGGGGCGACGCGCTCACAGCGGCAGGCACTGCACCACACTGGCAGACCAGAGCCCGCTTGCAGGTCAGGTGGCGAGTCATTTTGTGCCACGCAGGGAAAGCTACCCCTGGGGGATGCCCTTGGAATGTGCGCGAGTAGGGATGTGAAGGCGCTGCGAGTTTGCCGAGGCAGTTCAGCGTGCGCCGTGTGAACGCAAATATCGTTGTTAGATAATTGCTGTAATAATTATTGTTCTTGTTATTATCCTTAGGCTTTGTGGGAGCAGACTGCACCGTTACGCCGACGCAAATCCTCACCTTCTGTAGAGACTAAAGTCCCCGGGCCCATTCAACACAGAAAAGTCAAGGGTGGTCAACACCAACACAACCTGAGTGTGGCAATGGAGAACACAAACGAAACGCACATGCAGCAGCAGCAGCAGCAGAGACAAGCACACAAGGGTATATGAGTCCACACGTGAATATGACAACCATGAGCCAAGCAAATGTTACTCGTGGGATGAGGGCACATGCGTGAGGGGACATGCGTGACGGGACAAGTGCGGCCTACGGAGCCTGATGTCGGCTGAGACCTCACGTGACGCGCCAAACACCAATTGCTGATCCAATATTAGAAAGAAGTTTTGCAGGCTGGCTAGCTGGCGTGCAAGTCACGTGCGTGGCGATGACATCACCGTGCATGATGATGCCACGCCTCCCACCCTTGGCAAATTCATGGCCAGTGCGGGTCTTATAACAATAATCATTTCACGAGCGGAGGTAGCGATCCGCTGCGTTTTCCTGCGCCTAAAGGAGCATGTGGCGGCGCTCATCTTTACCGGTGACCTCGAGCCAGTGTTGGAAATTCCACATTCCTATAGCAAAGGGCCAGTGTCAGTAGACTTATTTTTTTTATATAGAATCACCATGATAAAAACATTGAACAACAGCAAGAACAAGTTGTTTTTTCTTAATTAACAAAAGTTTATATGCAGCACCCAACTCGGTGTGAAAATACAAAATAGGTTCAGGAGGGGAGCGGAGGGTCAGGGGTGGGGGGGGGATGGAAAATGGGAGGGGAGGGAGATGAGGGGAGTGAGGAAGATCTGAGGACATCACTCGTAAGGACAACCCCTGGCTGCTACAATCAGTATCTGAATCTAATGGTGGCTAGTGATGGGTAGGGGTGGGCGGAGAAGAAATGAAGACTCCATCTGTCGAGGTCACAGCCCTCGCGAGCGTCCCACAGCATCGCCGGTGGCTCTCGGGCGACCACACCCAATGCTTTATCGAGCGAGGCACCGACCGCGGCTGCTTGACGGCACTCCGAGCGGACGCCACGAGTGCCCCCTCGACTCCGAGAGTAACGCCTGGGAGGACACCTCTGCCCAAGAGGCGCGCGGTCGGCGAGGAGAGACGAGGCGCGCGCCATTTGAACTCGCGGACGCGCCCAGACGCCAACGCTCGTGGGGTCGCGCCGACTGGCGGAGGCCACCGTGGCCACGACGCCAAGAAAGACTGGGCCCAGATATCGCTCGGCATCGGTTGGCTGGGCGTTGAAAAGTGTTGGGGAAATCTGTTGGCTTCTGTATCAATCCATGGGCAGTCGCCCCTTGAGCAGGAGTCAAACTGGTGACCTCGTGCAGGTAGCAACAGCATCAACAGCCTGTCACAACCAATGTTGATGCCTTCACTTCCTTCCTTCTGCTAGAATTCCCAGCTGTTGCACAGACGACGCTGGCCTTCTCAGTGTTCAACCATCTGGCTTCAGCTCTTCCCCTAGTCATGTGGTCGACACATCCTACAACAACAAGGCCCGCTCTCACAGTCCCGCCATGATTACTACCGTCTGGCACGAGGTCTTCCCCTCAGTGGCTGAGCTCTGGGCACCTCTCCCGATGCCGGTCTCGGTACCCTGCCCCTCCCCCTCCACCCTGCGCATGTGTCCGACCCCTGGTTGAAGCAAATTACGTCTACGACGCAACTCTGCAGAGTTCCTGTCACTTTTACGGGTGCACAGTGGGGCCTACCATCCACACGGACCTACGATCAGCGCGGGCCCACGATCCGCACTGGCCTACGATCTGCACGGGCCTACGATCGATCCACACGGGCCTACGATCTCCACGAGGCCTACGATCCGCCAAGGGCCTACTGGACCTACAATCCGTACGGGACCTACGATTGGCACGGGGCCTACGATCCGCGTGAGCCTATGATCCGCGTGAGCCTATGATCCGCGTAGGCCTACGATCCGCGTGGGCTGACGGAACAGCAGTGAGGATGGCGACGCAACAGCGAGATGAGATGCGTGTTCGTGGCGGTACTCACCCCAGTGCCGTCTCCGACCCAGGCCAGCGTGACGGACTTGCTTAGATTGTTCTCAAATTCAAACTGGAGACACAAAAGGCACAGCAGCAGCAGCAGCATCAGTGTCCCGTCCACCCACCCCACTCGCTGGACGAGTTTCCACGTTAAGTGTCTCAACACGCCTGCTTGAATCAACCCTGGTGAACTGCCAGATGTTGATAGGCAAGGGCCCCTCTCTGTTAGATGTGGGTCCTCGTTCAACGTCACAATTTTAAGGGTTGTTGTGGAGAATGTGGGCAGGAGGTTGTCCAGAATAAACAACTTGGGAGTGAGTACAGATGTAATCAGCAAGAAGAGGAGGAGGTTGTGATGGATGGGACACGGAGTTGAGGAGGGGCGGTGACACGGGCAGGAATAGGAGTGGCACCAGACGTCGGTTAGCAAGGGAAGACCTGAAGCCAGACGGTGGTGGTGATGGTGAGGCTGTTAGAATGGACATTGGAGGACTTTGCAACAGTTGCGGGATCTGGCAGAATGACAGAAGCAATAGCAGGTTTCAGAAGCATCAGCGGTATTGGCCACAATGACCTTTCACCGTCACTTTCGGGACACATGAGGCTCTAGAGCTCCAGGAAGGATCTGCTCAGATATTGGGCCAATACATGAGTGTGTGTATGTGTAATTAAGCGTGTGGGAGGAAACTGGAGACGGGGGTGATAAGGGAACTGGCCGTAGGACAAGCACCCCATCTCAAGTTGCCTCGTATCCACTGTCAATGTTTACAAACCGACATGCTGCACTGCTGCCGTCAAACCTGTCGGCGATAATAATTATCGCGAGAAGCGTATTATTAAATAAGATACATTACAATTCCTTATAGGGGAAACAAACGCTGATTACTAAAGCAGCATACTTACAATAAACACATTACTACTGATTACTAATCTACAACTGGCATCGTAACAACTGCCTGATTACTAATCTAGTATATAATTACAATACCCCCCCTCCGCCTCAAATCGTTGCACCTGATGAGTTGATGAGTTACTGATGACGTCACCCTGCTGCTGCTCTATATAAGACCGGGAGCCAGAGCAGAGCCTCACCATTCTGGCGAATTGCCCGATGATGCTGGATGCAATTACCAGCGAAACGTCGTACTCAAAAAATTGTAAATGTTGTGGTTTCACGCTTCAACACACCGGTGGGCTAAAGCAGTGAACTATTTGTCTTTTGTCAACGTGACACTTTTTTACTGATTGGCCGTGTCGGGTGGTGGAGGGTTACGACACATTTATAAATAACGCGATCTAAACCCAAAAACGTTGATTATGAATATCATGAGAATGTCAACTTGTGATGTGCCGCACAGTATTCCTTCACTCCATAGAGAAATAAAACTATTCAGGAGGTGCGAGTAGGAACCACGGGCTAGCGGGGAGGCAGTAGCCACGCGATGGGCTGGCACCAACCATTGCCCAAGTTCTGTGGTCCTCGATATATGAAAGTGTCGTTATCGGACAATGAATGAGGAAACCGGAGCCCCTGAAGAAAACCCATGAGTGCGAGGGTGAAACACTCTATCCCATCAAGACAGAACAGGCGGAGTCCACATTTCTGCTGTGCCTGGCTTCTCCCGGCGTGCCAGGGTCACGGCTCTTCTTCTACGCCCACGGGAAGAGCGTCATAACCAGTGGCGGCTCCTGCAAAATCTCTCAGGGGGGGGCAAATGTCTGGATGATTGATAAGGATAAGGTCCACCCATGCAATGGATAAATTAACAGCTTAAGCATGTAAAGGCAACTTCACTTCTTTAATATTAATGCAAAATAAAGTGACTCTTGCAATACATCTTGTTTGTTTCTATACTCACTATTAAAACAAACCACTCAAGTTTATTTTATTAAAGATTCCACTAGGTGGCGATAAATTATATTGTTGGATGAAACGTGCTTACGTATGATGTCGTAAGCACGTTAGTGCGAGCCCTCCCGGAAGCCATAGAGAATGCATTACAGCGCCCGCCGTTCGAAAAAAAACATCTTTGAATGTAAGTCTATGGGAACACTCGGGGCGAATCTCAGCCGGAGTGAAATCGCCCAAAAAGAGGCGGTACTCCACAGAACGTAGCATGACGCTGATTGGACTATATCCAGAGGCACAGTAACGGCTCGCGAAACTCTGTGGTTGAAGGACATTGGTGGTGCGTCGCCCAATCGCCCTAATGAAGAAGCCGCCCCTGGTCATAACGCCATTCGTACGGTGATCCGCCAAGCCTCGCTCCATTAAAGCGTGCCCCACCACCACCACCACCAAACCCGCAAAAAGTTAACTCTACAAAACGATATCAGTATACCAAACCACACATGAAGAATCATCCAAAAACAGATGTAACAAATTAGCCAATTAAAAAGCACACGTGGCGCTGTGACCTGGGCAGCTGCTGGCAACTGCGCCATCAGCCCTGATTAAATCTCTCAACGCAGCGAGGCGGCCCCGATTCACTTAGCCACAGCCACACAGCTTCCCTGCCACAGCCTAGCAATGTCGTGCTCACTCAAGGCTCGGTGATAGATTAACGCCTTGTTAACAGAAATTATTTACTTTCGTGTTCAAATCGACTACGTCGATTGCCTACTGTATGGCGTCAGTGGTTTTTGCTTTCTTTACAGCCGTGTGGCACGTAGCACTGCACTCCGAAGTTCCCACGTGGCCAGCTGAGAGAGAGAACATTTTATGGTAAGCGCATTTGGAAATATTAAAAAACTAATATTTAACCATCACCCTCTTCCTTGGGGACACAGCGGCACCATGAGGGCTGTTTCCCCTTCCAGACGCCAGCTCATTGCCAAACGTCTTGGCTGTGGTGATGTTATTGGCAAGAATAACACTGGTTGAATAAAAAATTCTCACCATGCCAGGACCGCACGCACGGGCTGTGCGCTCAGATCTCAATGGAAGACAAACGGGCAAGTGAGCTCGGTGGTGCTACAATAAGAAACACGGTGCTGCTGCCAGGGTCAAAAGTAGTCCTTCCACTCCAGTGTCCGATTAGTGCAGCTAAGATGCTGGCAGTGACGAAACATCGTTTTTTACGAGGCTGTTTCAACGTGCCAGGCACCGGTGTGGCCACGCGCCGGGTGAAATTGAGTCGGGCGGCCGGGACCAGCGTGTTACAAAATAAGTAATGTTTTAAAAAACTTTTCTTAAAACACGCTTTTATGAAATGTACTAGTAATGGAAGAACTCCAGGAAGTGGCCCCGAAGCTTGCCATAACGTAAGGGACCGTGGCCAATTACAGCCAACGTCAGTTGACCGTGGACAATTAGACCCAAGCCGAAACATAACATATAAAAAAGAATGTTTAAAAATATTTATTTTCATGATAGAATATAGTATTGTCATCAGTATGACAAATATAGAAAGTTTGCAGTCGATACCACATTGGGAGGTGGGTTAAAATAGAGTTACAAGATTTGAGGATACAACAACAACAACAGACGAAGTGAGTTAAATGAAAGTGTGCTAAAAAAACGAAACTCTAATCACAAATGACAAGACCAAGGCGAGGCCATGTGGCTGGGTTGGGTCTGGCTGGGGCTGGTGGCAGAGCACGTGATGGGGCGGACGGGTGACGAGCCACGTGACCCCAAAAAGCCACGTGACCCCAAAGCCACGCAGACGCTTGCCACTCGTCAACTCATCTTATATTTACATTGCGCGCTCATACAAAGTGCTTTTACACGGGCTATTGTAAGTGGTAGAATTAGGGTGGCTAAAGGTGATGCGGTGAATAGGGTTGGGGGGGGGGGGTATGCAGAGGGATGTTTAGTGGGTAGGGTAATTGGGGATGGAGGGAAGGATGGGCCAGGGAGATGAGGGGGGGTCTTGAGGGAGGAACGGAAACTGGACAGGGAGGTTTGCTTCCACAAGAGGTTATTTTGGGTTAGATTGCGTAAATTTGTAATAAATGGGTCGTTAAAACCCGCCACCACCCGACACAGCCAACTAGTAAGGGTTGTCACGTCAACAGAACGTGGCCAATTCGTCACTAGTACAGCACTAGTGTATAGTGTAGTGTATTGTGTAGTGTATAGTAGTGTAGTGTATAGTGTAGTATACTAGTACAGCACTAACCGGTGTGTTGGAGAGCCAAGCCACAACATTTACAATCTGAGTACGACGTTTCGCCAGTGATTATAGCCAGCTTGCTGCTCAATGTGGAGGGCAAGCTTGTTCCATCATCATCATCGCTGCCACTGCACGAATCTCGCCCTTCCGTACAACTCTGAACTTTAAACAACAAAAATTGCTTTTTTTTAAGTAACAAAACAAGCAGCCGATTTGCCTCCTTTCCCCCATGTATCTGTCCGTCTCCCGACATGAAACACAAAAACAATTAAAGTATTGTTTTTCTAAATGGTTTAACACAAACACAACTAAAGATTTACACCATTGGAACCTCATTTGCCAGTAAAAAATATGATAATTGTTTTTTTACCCTTCTATCTGGCAACAAAACTGACACCTTTTTTTTTACAAGGAGTCATGTTTGCATAGACCACAATACCTGCAGCCATAATGCAAACAAAAAACATAACTCTGATAATATATGCACTGTCCTTGAAGTTGATTGGTCCACACCCGAGACAGCTTTCCTTAGAGCCTAGTCTCACATGGGTTGGACCAGATGACGCCAAAAGGCGCACTTTTGGCGTTTTGTTGCCAGATAGAAGGGTAAAAAAAACAATTAACAACTAAAGATGTACATTCACAATCGGCTCTCCCCTCGTCGAAACGAGTGCAGCAGCACGAGACCCACAGCGACAGAGTCTCTCTGCCTTCCACAAGCAAGGCAGCTCCATGCCAGTGATGGGAATTCCACATTCCTGTGATGGGGTCGGGTATCTCCGTGGAAGATCCACCGATTGGACCCCAGAGCGGTATGAACGTTGCTGACCGTGGAGGGATGACGGGCAGAGTCGCGCCTACACGTGAACTGAAGACCCCCCAAACCAGTCAGCGGTTGTGTAACTCGAAATCGCGTGTGCCGAGGCAAGAGTTGAGACCATCGGTGTGCCGACATCACGGCCCACAGTCTGCGAATCCGATCGATTGGCATTGCACTGTGCCAAGTCCTAGCCATGGAGTCAACATTGGGGGGGACGAAATCTTCCAGGGTGTCTGGGGGTCCCAACCCAGGAAAATATCTAAATTTTAAAACGAATTTCCTGCCTAGAATATGAAACAATTCACCAACACATGGGATGGACTTTTCATTTCTTTTTTACAATAATGTCCAATAGTGTATTGTAGTACATTGCTCTGTTTATACTTTTTTTTTACCATTTCTTGATTCGTTGTATGTAATGGCAGAGTATAGGGATTAATAAAGAACAACCATAACCACAATCATATAAACAGAAATCTATGCTCTTAGTTTTTTTATACTAAGGAATACATCTATGCATTGATTTATATGAAGACAAGTCCAGATATTGTGGCCAAGGTTTACCAAATTGTTTTTATTCCCATAGCATAGCAAATATATTTTTTATAGCAAAATATTAGGGGGAACATTTTGAGCATATTTGAATATTGGGGGGGGGGGGAATATGTCCCCCCCAATATATATTATATAATTACGGCCTTGCACTGTGCATTGTGCACAGCGGCAGCCCACTGCCACCCCCTACAGACAGACACATGCCTCGGGTCACTGGTGGTGAATGGGAATCTTTGCTATGCTCTGGAGTTGTCACCGGGCTAAACTCTGCTCCACTCCTACTACTCAACATCTTGACGATGCCCCCTCGCCTTCATTGAAACATGGGGGTGGTGGTGGCGGTGCTGGTGGCGTTGCTGTGGTTGTTGTGGTGGTGGCGTTGCTGTGGTTGTTGTGGTGGATTTGTTGTGGTGGTGTCGGTGCTGGTGGATTTGTTGTGGTTGTTGTGGTGGTGGCGTTGCTGTGGTTGTTGTGGTGGTGGATTTGTTGTGGTGGTGGTGGTGGCGGTGCTGTAGTAGTTATGGTGGCTTTACTGTGGTGGCTTTGCTGCGGTTGTTGTGGTGGTGCTGGTGGTGGCGTTGTGGTTGTGGCTTTGCTGTGGTTGTTGTGGTAGTGGGTTTGCTCTGGTTGTGGTGGTGCTGGTGGTGGCGCTGTGGTTGTGGCTTTGCTGTGGTTGTTGTGGTGGTTGTGCTGTGGTTGTCGTGGTGGTGGCGTTGTAGCTTTGCTGTGGTTGTTGTGGTAGTGGGTTTGCTCTGGTTGTTGTGGTGGTACTGGTGGTGGCGTTGTGGTTGTGACTTCGCTGTGGTTGTTGTGGTGGTTGTGGCTTCACTGTGGTGGTTGTTGTTGTGGTAGTGGTTGTTGTTGTGGCTTCGCTGTTGTTGTGCCTTCGCTGTGGTTGTGGCTTCGTTATGATTGTTGTTGTGGTGGTTGTAGCTTCGTTGTGGTAGTTGTTGTGGTGGTAGTAGTTGTTGTGGTGGTGGTGGTGTTTGTTGTGGTGGTAGTGGTTGTTGTGGTAGTTGTTGTGGTGGTAGTGGTTGTGGTGTTTGTAGTGGCGGTTGTGGTGGTTGTTGTGGTAGTGGTGGTGGTAGTGGTTGTTGTGGTGGTGGTTGTTGTTGTGGTTGTTGTGGTTGTGGTAGTGGTTGTTGTAGTTGTGGTGGTTGTAGTTGTTGTGGTTGTTGTAGTTGTTGTGGTTGTTGTGGTAGTGGTGGTTGTGGTAGTTGTGGTGGTAGTGGTGGTTGTTGTGGTAGTTGTTGTTGTAGTGGTTGTTGTGGTGGTTGTGGTGGTAGTGGTTGTTGTTGTGGTGGTAGTTGTGGTTGTAGTAGTGGTGGTTGTTGTGGTGGTAGTGGTGGTTGTAGTTGTAGTAGTGGTTGTTGTGGTGGTTGTGGAGGTAGTGGTTGTTGTGGTGGTAGTTGTGGTGGTAGTTGTGGTTGTAGTAGTGGTGGTGGTTGTTGTGGTTGTGGTTTCTCTGTGGTTCTTGTGAACACGGATATAAACCGGCCCGCCTCGCGTCAACGCAGCCCATTACATTTCCCAGCGCGGACACGCGGGAGGCCACGCCCCCTCGTCTCGCGCCGACCAATGGGCGCGCGTCGCGACCCCGGCGCGGACCAATCAGCGCGCGGCACAACCACCGCGCGCGCGCACCCGGGCTGCGAATTCAAACCGCGGCGCGGGGGGGGGGGGGAGGCCTCGAGGGCGTCTCCACTCTCGGCCTCTCGCGCCGCCACAACCGCCACGACCACCACCACAACAACAACACAACAACAACACAACAACGCCAACACAACAACAACACCACAACAACAACACCACCACAACAACACCACCACAACAACACAACAACACCACCCAACAACAACACCACAACAACAACACCACAACAACAACACCACCCCAACAACAACACCACAACAACAACACCACAACAACAACACCACAACAACAACACGCGCCTCCACCGCTCCCCACCTTGTGCGTGTTGCGCCGCAGCTGCTCCAGCATCTGCGGCGGCATCAGCGTGCGGTTCGCGGCGGAGGCCGCGCTTGGGCGTGGGGGGGGAGGCCGAGGCTGCCGCCGCTGCCGTGGCGCTCCGGCCGAACCTCGCGGCGTGGAAGCGGCGCGCTCGGTCGGGCTCCGGGACGACGGAGGCCACGAGGAGGAGGAGGAGGAGGATGAAGACGACGACGACTTGCGCCATGGCTACTCCGCCACCGTGATGTCTGTGTGTTGCTGTTGTGATTGTCTTGGTGGTGGTGGTTGTGGTTGTTGTTGGTGGTGGTGGGTGGTGGTGGTGTCCGTGCTGACTGTCCGCGCGCTCCAGGAAGTGGTGCCGGGTTTAACTAAACCGGTTCGCCCGGATCGCGAGAGTCGGGGGGTGTGGGGGGGGCGACCACTCGGGGCCCGTGACGCGGTGGGGGGAGGGCTCGCAGCGCCTCTGACAGGGCTCCGCGTGGCCACGGCAGTGTCGGCGTGGCCACGGCAGAGTCGGCGTGGCCACGGCAGTGTCAGTCACCGTGGCCACGGCAGAGTCGGCGTGGCCACGGCAGAGTCGGCGTGGCCACGGCAGAGTCGGCGTGGCCACGGCAGTGTCGGCGTGGCCACGGCAGAGTCGGCGTGGCCACGGCAGTGTCAGTCACCGTGGCCACGGCAGTGTCAGCGTGGCCACGGCAGAGTCGGCGTGGCCACGGCAGAGTCGGCGTGGCCACGGCAGAGTCGGCGTGGCCACGGCAGTGTCAGTCACCGTGGCCACGGCAGAGTCGGCGTGGCCACGGCAGAGTCGGCGTGGCCACGGCAGAGTCGGCGTGGCCACGGCAGTGTCGGCGTGGCCACGGCAGAGTCGGCGTGGCCACGGCAGAGTCGGCGTGGCCACGGCAGAGTCGGCGTGGCCACGGCAGAGTCGGCGTGGCCACGGCAGAGTCGGCGTGGCCACGGCAGTGTCAGTCACCGTGGCCACGGCAGAGTCGGCGTGGCCACGGCAGAGTCGGCGTGGCCACGGCAGAGTCGGCGTGGCCACGGCAGAGTCGGCGTGGCCACGGCAGTGTCAGTCACCGTGGCCACGGCAGTGTCGGCGTGGCCACGGCAGAGTCGGCGTGGCCACGGCAGAGTCGGCGTGGCCACGGCAGAGTCGGCGTGGCCACGGCAGTGTCAGTCACCGTGGCCACGGCAGTGTCAGCGTGGCCACTCCAGACTCGGCGTGGCCACGGCAGGTTCGTAATAGCCATGTCACGTTCATGGCCATGTCAGGTTCATGATAGCCATGTCATGCTCACGGCCATGTCAGGTTCATTATAGTCATGTCACGTTCATGGCCATGTCAGGTTCATGATAGCCATGTCATGCTCACGGCCATGGCAGGTGCATTATAGCCATGTCACGTTCATAGCCATGTCAGGTTCATGATAGCCATGTCATGCTCACGGCCATGTCAGGTTTATAATAGTCATGTCACGTTCATGGCCATGTCAGGTTCATGATAGCCATGTCATGGGCATGTCAGGTTCATGATAGCCATGTCATGGCCATGTCAGGTTCATGATAGCCATGTCATGGCCATGTCAGGTTCATGATAGCCATGTCATGGCCATGTCAGGTTCATGATAGCCATGTCATGGCCATGTCAGGTTCATGATAGCCATGTCACGTTCATAGCCATGGCAGATTCTCGAGGGAGGGCCGCTTCAAGCTCGTGATGGCCACGTGAGGGTTATAATGGCCGTGTCAAGTTCAGCTCAACACAGCCGAGATTGTGGCCTTATCACGTCCAGGCAGCAGGACAACGCGGCAGCTGTCCACTGGCTCTGTCGTGGTGATGAAGTCTCGTCAGGAGAGCGTAGCCATCACTGGCTGGCTTACTGCTGCTACTGCTGCTTGTGCGTGCTGAGCAGCCTGGCTGAACACGCTACCAAGCCATTCAGAGCCCATTAGCAACGTGAACGAATCGGGGTGTTTAGGGGGCGTCCATAAATGACGTCACGCAATTTTGGACGATTTTTGACCCTCCCCCCTCGTCACACGGCGTCACAAAAAGTCAGACCCCCTCAAATGACGTCACAAAGCTCTGCCCCCCCCCCCCAAAAAAAAATATTCAAATCGCTTTCAACTATTGTCATTGTGGTGAGTATTTAATGTGGCGCTGCACTCTGATGTTGTAGGAGAAAACATTTATTAAAGTATATTTAATTAAGTAGAACGTGTAGTCTATATTTATTTAAAGTTGCGCATGTTGATGTGACGTCACGTTTCTCAAACCCCCCCCCCCTCGTCACACATCGTCACAAATGTCTGACCCCCCCCCCCCTAGGCGCGTGACGTCATTTATGAACGGCCCCTTATTCAAGTCACATGTTTGAGCAACGCATGACACGGATTTAAAAAGTCTGCTTCCTTTAACGTCAATTGGCCTTGTGCATGCCGCGACCTTGTGCATGCCGCGAGTGTGAACGAGGCGACGTGGAATCGGCACGCGTGTTCATAATTCTGCCGGTGGAGGAGCTAATTGTATTTTTTGACTTAAAAGCTTTCGTGACTGCAGGAATTCACATTCTTCGGGTCTTTCGGTAAAGTCACGTAGATAAGAAGGCCCAAAGAATCGAATTGTATTTTTCTAAGAGGAAACCCGGCTACTTCTCAAACATTTACAGAGAACTTGAGGTCACAGACATCGGCGGTGCCGTTTATTTCGCCAATAAAAGGAAGTTGCTGTACGGGATAACTTTTTGTTTTTATGTTTGATCCCAGTGATGGTTGATAACGCGGGTCTTAGTGGCCCTGTCAATACAATCAGGATGTGAGTTTATACTGGAGGAATCCGATGAGCCATGACGCTCTTATTCATTACAGATGTCCAGTCAAAAAAAATCGCTGTCACCAGACCACCCCGCCCCTACGACTGCCATGCACTGCCCGCGACGACCCTAACGAGGTAACCTACAAGCCAAGGCCGTAGCCATGCGGTCAACATTGGGGGGACCAAATCTTCCAGGGTGTCTGGAGGCCCCCCCACCCAGGAAAAAAAATCTAAATTTGAAAACGAATTTCATGCCTAAAATATTAAGGTCTAATAGTGTATTGTATTACATTGTTCTGTTTTTACCTTTTCTTGTTTCATTGTATGTAATGGCAGAGATTAGGGATTAATAAAGTACAACCATAACCACAATCATATAAACATATCTATTTTATAGCCATATATTGGGGGGGATATGTTGAGCATATTTGAATATTGGGGAGGGGGGGGATGTGCCCCCCCCAAAAAGATATAATTACGGCCTTGCTACAAGCAGCTCCACATCCTCCTCACACCCAAGCACCAAACCAACCTCATCGATTCTTGGCCACATATTCGATATCTCAAAAATACCGAGCGCATTTTGTGGTGATTTGGTCACAGTCTGGCGTGCAGAGGTCCTAGCATCAGCCAAACCTGTGCACCTGCATTGGGAAGGTTTTTCTATGACTCAAGGATCCATACATACTCTTAGTTTTTTTCGGTAAAGTCAAATAAATTACATTTTGCTGGAGCAGTCAACACCTGATGACGGTTGCTTGTGTTGCTTCCGAAACGTCGTGATTTAATTTTACTTGTTTTCATTTTAATTTCTTGTATATATTTTTTTTACCTACGTGACTTTACCGAAAAAAACAAAGAGCATGGCCTCTTAACACCCGCGGCAAACCTCTCACTCAACGCAGGTGCAGAAGATCACCGCGGCCACGAGGCGGCAGTGTCCCCACACTGCGGGGAGAGGGCAGTGATTTCTTGTTGGTTGTGGGGGGGGGTCAGACCCTCCCAATCAGCAACACCGCCAACAACCCTCGCGTCTCCATCTCTTGTCGGCGTGAATGAGTGTCTAAAACCAAGGCCGTAATTATAATATATATTGGGGGGGGGGGGGGGGGGCACACCCTCCCCCTTCAATATTCAAATATGCTCAAAATGCCCCCCCCCCCCCAATATATTGCTATAAAAAAATAATTGCTATGCTATGTAAATAAAAACAACAATTTGCTCAACCTTGGCCACAATATCTCGACTTGTCTTCATATAAATCAATGCATAGATTTCTGTTTATATGATTGTGGTTATGGTAGTACTTTATTAATCCCTAATCTCTGCCATTACATACAATGAAACAAGCAATGGTAAAAATAAAAAACAACAGAGCAATGTACTACAATACACTATTAGACATTATTGTAAAAAATAAATAAAAAGTCCATCCCATGTGTTAGTGAATTTTTTTATATTTTAGGCAGGAAATTAGTTTTCAAATATAGACATTTTTCTGGGTTGGGACCCCCAGACACCCTGGAAGATTTGGTCCCCCCCAATGTTGACTCCATGGCTACAGCCTTGTTTCAAACATATCCATTAAACTGCGGGTGGATATCCCGTTGGACGTGTGGCTGCCACTCCGCTCTTAGTCTCGACCCCTTCCTAACCATGACGTTCCCTGCCCCCAAACCAGGTCTCCGTTCTGTCATTCAACAGTCAACGCCCCCGAATGCCGCGCCACTCTCCGAGCTGGCAAGAAAATAAGTAATATTTTTAAAAAGTTTTTTAAAAACACGCTTTAATGAAATGTACCGTACTAGTAATGGAAGAACTCCACGACTCCAGGAAGTGGCCCCGAAGCTTGCCACAACGCAAGGGGCCGTGGTGATTTACAGCCAACGTCAGTTGAGCGTGGACAATTAGACCCAAGCCGAAACATAACATATAATTTTTTTAATATATATATATTTAATGATAGAATATAGTATTGTCATCAGTATGACATAAGTATACCAAGTTTGCAGTCGATACCACATTGGGAAGTGGGTAAAATTTTAGTTACAAGATTTGAGGATACAACAGACAGAGTGAGTGAATAAAAAGCGTGTACCAAGCCATGCTCGGAACGTAGCTGGCGACGTTGGGAAGGATGCAAATGTCTCTGCTGGTGCGCATTATTCTAAGAATAATTATGTTAAATACAGCAAGCGGCACTGACTGGCATGTCCCTCCGATACACTCCGTGCACGGCTCAACCCTGATCGCGTGTGGGATGTAGTGCAGCGACACCATCATTCACAAAGCCTACAACCAACCCTGAAAGGCTTTATACAACCAGAGACGATAATATGTAACGACACAGAAAGCAAAAAAACCAAATCGATTCTTGAATCATCTCGCAGTCAATATCGCCCGACTTGAGCCCTGTCGAGACCACTATCCCCTTTGGAGGATGTGGCTCAGTGGTCAATATCCAGAGTGAGTTGTCACAACCTTGCAACGCTCAGCGTGATCACACCCAACCCATGGGCCAACGCTGCCGCTTTGCTTTTGTTGACGATTTTGATTAAAATTATAATTGACAAATGTGCATAAAACGCACGTTCGTTCAATCAGCCTCTGCGATTTCCATACCAGTATTCTTAAGCAACACGTTGTTTTAACAAGCACACCGAGGACCGGTTTTAACGAGCCTGGCTGCTGATGGGATCCTGAAGGTTGAAACCAGTCCAGACTATGCTTGTGTAAACACATGCGACCAGATAATACTGGCATGGAAAGGCCACGTGCAGCGAATGAACTGAAAAAAAGCCCATTGTATGTTGAAAGACAAATGGAACTTTAAGCTGTTTATAAGGCCACTGACGGAAGGACTTCCCAAGCTATGGCTCATTAGGAGTGGTTGACCATACTTCACCATGGTGGTTAGTGCTGATTATTAAAGGTGGCGTGTCTGCAGACTGGATCAGGTAGCACTCGCCCCTTCAGTGAATCACCGCTCGAGCTCATGCTAAGTGGCACACGTGCTATACGAGCTGTAATGTGCTCGCTGCGTGGCAATAAACCCAAGGTCAATCCGCGTGAATTTACAAACCAAAGCTAATAAATATTTGAGGTTTTTGTTTGTTTTGTTTATTCATTGGTGAGTGAGCCGAGGCACATCCATTCACTGCACTCAAGGGGGGCTGAAACCAACATTCAAATCCAAAATTCCAGTAGTGCAGGCTCGGTGTTCTGAATGACGTGGCCATTGAGCCCCCATAATCTGCCTGGCCACTGGATCAATCCACCACCGACCACTGCAACTGTTTTTGTCGATTCATATTCATACTGTACAGGTCGTGCTTCTTGATTACGTCGGCGCTTCGGGACTTGTTTTGTGTCCGTGGCAGGCACGAGATCAACGAACGATAACGACGACGATGAACCCGGCGTATCGATGACTGCCTGGATTTGAACCCAGGATCTCACGCGTGCGCGAGTTTTCTCCGGATGCTCCCGTTTCATTCCGTGTGTAGTGACACAGCGCCGGCTGCCGTCCAGCAACGGCAACTGCTGTGGACGAGCAGTGCGCACTACGGTGAGCACTTACGCCGGTGTGCCGGCAGGGCGGAGGAACTGTGGCAAGTGGCACAGAGACCCTGTCGAGAAGCCCCTGGAACCCGCTAGTGGGTTCGAGAAGAATAAAAGCAGCGGAGAGTGGGAGCTCGTGGCTGCCGGTTCTGAGAAGTGGTCTCGTCTCGTCGTCACTGTCGGCTTCACTAGATATTGTGCTTACGGATAGTTGTTGGCTATCTCGGTGGACGTCGTCAGTGTAACAGGGTCAGGGTTCATCTTCTTGGTTATTTCGGTAAAGTCACGTAGAAGGGAAGTAATAAAATTACAATAACACATAATAAAATAATTCTCACGACGTTTCGGCCACAACGCAAGCAGCCGTCCTCAGGTGAAGACCAGGACTGTCATTCAGACGCTGTCTCCCCGACAGACCTGGTCTTCACCTGAGGACGGCTGCTTGCGTTGTGGCCGAAACGTCGTGAGAATTATTTTATTATTTTTAATTTATTATTATTTTATTATTTCCCTTCTACGTGACTTTACCTAAAGAACCAAGAAGATGTATCCCTGCAGTCACGAAAGCTTTAAATCGAAATTTAAAGGTCAGGGTTGTGGCGAGGCGAGGCTATACGACTTGAAAGAAGCGAGGGCGAAACTGTGAACCTAAAAGTTTTAAATAAAGGTGCCTCCTCAAGAATCCGTCTCTCGCTCCATTAACACTGCACGTGTATAAACACCCCTCGTTCATGGGAGTTGGCCATACGTACCATGATAGGATCGCAGAGCTTGGGAAATGTGTTGGCACCGGTTCTGGATGCCTCCCTTTACGCTGGCGTCTTTCTGCACACTTCCGTTGTGGAAAACGACTCTCGTTCGAATTCTACTCGCGCCTTTTGCGATGCGATTTGCACGAATTATGCTGCAGTGGATATGTAAAGACGCGAGACGCAGCTCAGCATGATTAGCTGCTGCCGCTTGCCCGCTACGGGAATAACAAATCTCGACAGGCGCTCAGACCGGTTCCATAAAGGGGGGGGGGGGGGCTGTGAATGTAATAAAGGCAGCAAGAGAAACACACACCTCTCGCAAGGACGTGTTCCCAGGCAACAGCAACAGCACGTGGACATGTCAGGTGCTGTTGTGACAGCAGCCTGGAGGAGGAATGCGTGGAATGGGGGGGTGGGGGTGAGCCCCCCCCCCCGAGGGGGCGTCTCCACCCCGCGCCGTGAAGAGGAGGGGGGGGGGGCGCTGTAACACGAGAACATCGGGCAGCCCGACGCAATCTCCCATCACAGATGTGACACGCAACATTTTTTGGGGGTTTGTCGATTGGCTAACATCTGCATCACCGTTACCACAGCTCGCTCCGGGGTCTCGGGAGGGGGGGGGGGCTCGCACCGCGGGGTTCATGAGTCCGGAGGGGAGGGGGGGTGGATGCAACGTGCGTCGACACGACCCGTACAGCAACACCTGCGGAACGAGCAGCGCAAGCATCCCCCACGACAGCAAAGGTGCGAGGTTGATAGATTAAACGTCGCATCCGAACACATCGGTGCAGCGCCTGTTCAGGATGAGCGCGGTGGAGAGCAAAGAGGGGGCTTTTGCGTGCTTCTGCGTCCGCTCCCTGCTGCCTTTGTCTCCCCCCGTTGCTCGTATTCACACAGGCACAGGCACTCTTTTAAAAGTGGAGACGACTTCGGAGAAATGTAGAGGATTCACGTTGGTGTGAATATACTCGAATTAGATTCTCTATGTTATTGGTTCTTTCGGTAAAGTCACGTAGAAGGGAAATAATAAAATAATAAAAATATCAAACAATAAAAATTCTGACGACGTTTCGACTGCAACACAAGCAATCATCATCAGGTGAGAAATCCACAGCAAGAAAATAAAAAAACGCCACTTTTTTCAAATTTTCTTGCTGTGGATTTTCACACCTGATGATTTCTTGTGTTGCAGTCAAAACGTCGTGAGAATTTTTATTTTTTTATATTTTTATTATTTCCCTTCTACGTGACTTTACCGAAATAACCAAGAATATTAATCCCTGCAGTCACGAAAGCTTTATATAAAAATTTAGATTATCTGTGTTGTGTTGTTGTGTTTCTAAGTTTACTGGTTTTTTTCTCATTCATTCTAATCTGATGATGGTTGCTTGTGTTGCAATCGAAACGTCGTATTCTACTATGATTTGATTTTCCTACGTGACTTTACCGATAGAACCAAAGAATGAATACACTCTGACATGATCCACATTTGTGGGCATCTTGGGAACGTAGCGAGTATATTCTATAGACTTATAGGGCAATGATTGTACTTGAAATAAAATTAATATTGAAAGATTGGTTTTGGCAATGCACGTTGGAAAAGCACTTAACGCCACAATACTTCAATGTCAGCCACCTCCACCACCACGTGTTATGTATTAAACGGTTTTCCGTTGAACCGAGACCCATATCTAAGAGAGCTTCCTTTGCCTAAACACATCTGGCAGCTCATTAGCAATGAATGAAACAAGCCCGACTGCTGACGAGACACGTAGGCTTTTGCGACCAATATCCATGAGGTTTTTGGGTTAGATCGCGTAAATGTGTCGTGAAACCCACCACCACACGACACAGCCATTCAGTAAGGTGTCACGTAAACAGAACGTGCCAATTCGTTACTAGTACAGCACGCCAGTGTGTTGCAGAGTAAACCGACATTTACAATTCGAGTACGACGTTTCGCCAGTAATTACAACTAGCATCATCAGGCGACAGCCAGATTGGTGGAGAAATCCTCCTGTTTTGGTCTTCGAAGGATCAATGTGACGTCGTCACTTGTGAGTCGATCAGGTGCAAAGACCAAAAGGGCAGTGGCGTCAATGTGCATATGAAATGACAATGGATTCCCATTACCGGTTGGGTTCTTGATATGGTAATCAACATACATTATGCATGCGCACTATTCATGTACATCCTGCCGTTTTTGTGTGCAAGAAATGAAGTACTGTCTGCTCACAGTCCATCACCATCGATGTATGGTGACCTGTATAGGCATGTAGTACGGTAATAATAGGTTTTTACCCTTTCAACTTGTACAAAAACTGACACCTTTATACAAGGCATCATGTTTGCAATAACCACAACACAAGCAGTCAAAATGCAAACAAAAAGAAACAACTCTGATAATGATATGCACTGTCCTTGAAGTTGATTGGTCCACACCCGAGACAGCTTTTCTTAGAGCCTAGTCTCCACTGGTGTTGGACCAGATGACGCCAAAAGGCGTACAACTGGTCCAACACCAATGGCTCTAAGAAAAGCTGTCTCGGGTGTGGACCAATCAACTTCAAGGACAGTGCATATCATTATCAGAGTTGTTTCTTTTGGTTTGCATTGACTGCTTGTGTTGTGGTTATTGCAAACATGCCTTGTATAAAGGTGTCAGTTTTTGTACCAGTTGCAAGGGTAAAAACCTATTACTATATTTTGCCACTGGTAAAGGAGGTGTCTCATAGTGCATGTAGTATGGTTGCGTTGAACCAATTCAGCTGATATGATGCGCTCCCAAAAGGCCGTGTGGCTGATGGGATGTAAAAGAAAAAGGTTTAGATTTTTTTACATGGAGACGGATATGTGAAGCAGGTGATGTCCTTGTTGTTATTTTCACCACCAAGCCCGCTAATGATTATTTTGTATCCTGGAGAGAGGTGATAGGCCGAGTCTGCCCCAAACCGGAACCTGAACTCACAACCCTCCAATTCTTGCAAGTGAAGTGCACTCAGAGTGGCACCACGCGGCCACATTGAACTCTAACAACGACCCCGAAGCAGGCGTCTTGCTTGCCAGCTGTCACGAAGCAGTGCTGGGCTTCGTAGCTAACGTTCATGTGCACACAGAGGCTGCCTCGCAGACACAAAAGGACACCCAATGCAAGTTGCCACAGTTACTGGTATTGCCGACAGTAACACTGGATACATTCAGACTTTTCATTTGGAACAGCGGGCATACAAACGTTGACGGATTTTTTTTATACGTTTATTGTTTCGCCTCGGTATTGAAAACTGCCGAAGACAAAACCGCATTAAACAAATAAACTTTTGTTTTAATGTATATAGATCAAGCTTAAAGTTCCCCCCAGAAACATTTGAAGTCACCAAAATACAAGCAACAAAATGTACAAAGTTCAACCGCTAACACTGCACACATCAAAACGTGGATCATGATAACAAAACACAAACCTCAGTGTTGGCTGTGTTGGTACCTACGAGAGGTGAGCGACAAGTCTGTGGGGCTTGACACGAGTGGTCCTACAAAATCGTTCAACGACAAATACACGTCTGCACCTCGTCATTACTCATGGTTCACCAATTGGACGGCAATGTGTCAGCCGCGAAGTCGTATCGGTGTTTGAAACCACCTTGTGCACTACATAAAGAAATAAATGTCGAAATCTCAAGTCGGGAGGAATCGCGAGAGATTTCTGGGATGATTCAGACATATCTGGAGAGAAGCCGCACCAGTCACAGGTCACAGTATCCTCCACGTTTCCCCGGTTAGAGCATCAATCGTGGGGAAAGTTACGTTCTAGTCACAACGAATCAACGCGTCCTGTAAACGAGCGGTTTCACGAGTGGGGAGGCATTTCCTCGGGACATCGATGACGACCCGAGGTCATTGCACATTCATGTCAAGAAATTCGGCTCCAATGAGGTGACTCGTTGTTATGTCGGGACACAGGCCTCTCCCTCAGCTCTTGTAGATACAGTGATAACATGCTGGCATGGCCGTTACCCACAATGCAATGGTTGTTACGCCACATTACCTATGATATCAAGGTGAAATTCAGCATGCGTAGTTTTCCAAAGTATGCATAACCCTGCTGCCTCTGCTGTAGATTATCGCGACGCAAGAATGTGTGGTGGTTCCTGATGCCGGACCGAATAGTTCTGTTATCCGTGGTGGAGGACCATGGGGTGGTGTTTGCGCCTCAATCCATGTGTGCGACGATTTACAATGACGAGAAGCACTTCACATTTCCTACCATAGACAGGACGATCGCTGATCAGTGATGTCTCATGGATTCCCCCACGTGATTTAACGTTTTAATAAAAAAAAACGTGTAATTCAAATAACTGGAATTTATGTTCATCAAACGGATTATGTCTATCTTTGAATCGAACTTTTGAATTTGGCTACCTTGGCAAAACGTGACAGCGTCCACAGAGGAACACAGGTTAGAGTGGTCAGTGGAACTGCCGAGGCCACTCCGATCGTCCCCAGAGACTTCTTACAATAAGCACACCCACACACACGTGTTGCGCGATACAGTTTATACCATCAGCAATGGGCACAACGACTGGTTTCCACTGCGTAACGTTGACTACCGCAGCAATCGGCCATCAAAAACAAAACCCTGCATGCAAGCGCTGCTCTACTTTGCTATCGAGTCGGCATTCGCGTGGCTTGAAAGAGCGGCACCCGTACAGGGACATTCCCCGCTTTGGTTTAGCGACAAAAAAGAAGGCTCATCTAATGTACGAGGGCACAAACTGTGGCAGCACAATATTGCAGCGGTCATGGGGAATAGGAGGTTTTTTTTAATGGGAAGGATCCGTAAACAGGGGACGGACAGCGAGCGGCACCTTGGGGTCAGTGGACTCAGGAACCTTGAATGTCAGGTGTCGTCGCTTTACAACATCTGGCGCTAAGCAATGAAGAGTTGTGGTAAAACCGGCATGACGCTCCTCCGAGGGGAGCCACAGCCAATCACAAGCGAGTCTTTACAAGCACACGGGGTTTTCAGACATGCTGTGGGTTACGACAGCTAACAAGATCGCAGGTCTTCAGAATGTTCAGCCGTAGAGAGTCAAAAGCTTTTGTGGAGCTCAACGATGATATTGTACATGATAGCCGCCAGGGTCAATGAAAATAAAACAGGGTATAATCTAACGGGGTCATTTAAGCATCTCCCCGACACGAGACGAGATTCGACACATTGCGTGAAACGGCGCTCATAATATCGCCTGCTGCACTAAGCTGTGCGTGTAAACACATGTACCAATTCTATTACATTTTCTTCACATATAACTGGGCGTTTGTCGCTTGAGATCATATCCCATTTGCAAAATGCAAACGTTCAAATTGTCTCTGCAACTTGGCGGTGATAACTACCCCCCCCTAAACAGAATCTGATCACGACGCGCATGTGGGAGAGGCACGTGGTGTTTCATGTTCACGGTGGCACTCGGCGCTTTTCCCAACGCTGCGGTCATCTACCCACGCACATCTTGCAAGAGAGTTTTGTTTTCATGCAAAAGAAAAAAGGGGTTTAATTGCCTCCAAAAATAACAGTGAACGACTTCGTTACACACGTCAGTGGACAGATTTCCACACAGCCACCCGCACTGAAAACTAGCAACAATGAGCAAATTAGGAACATATGAAAAAGCAAATTAAGCACAATGAAAACATGACTGAGCTAATGTTGATTTTCACTGACCCTGGCAATTAGCCACCATGACAACACACCGCACGGAGGCGGACGACGGGGCCTGCACAGCCTCCACGTGGCTTCTACTCGTCCTTCTTGCTCGGAGATCCTTCCAGCTGCTTCTGCAAGAAGACACAGCCACCGGCGAATGTTCAGCCTCGAGTTTCAGGCGGTGAGAACTCAAGAGACCAGAACAGGAATCTCACTTGGAAGTGACCGCCTCTCCTGGGTCACTAAAACAATACAAAGCCTCGGACACATTTCTTGCTTCTAAAAGTTTTTTTTTATTGCATTCTAATAGTGCTCTCGGCGGAATCATGTTGGCCAAACATCCCAATATAGGACCAGAGCTTGGGCAATTATTGTGGTACAGCTTATGAACGGCTTCCCACTTTTCTGTGATTTCCCATGCCTCTGAATCTTTCTTTTTCTGCTGAGAATGAAGGAAAACTGCTCACGTCACAAATGATACCTCCTCATTACGTCACAAGACAAAGAAATTTACATTTAGAACTTTTAGAATGGTCCAATATGAAGCCTGTGTACCCCAGAAGATGACATAATAGAACAACTTCTCAAGTACCTTTCAATAGGTGGGCACAAGTTCCATTGCATGGAAATTAAGCCAAAACAGGCGATTCTAAAAGCTGCAATCTGCAAATTAAGCCACAAACCAAGCTTAACGGAGAATGGTTTTGGACCGTCATTGGTGGCCCTGAAACCGAGCTCGTGAACTCGCTACACGCGAGAAGCCGGTTTCACCACACGTGGCCAAAACATGGCTCTCTCGAGACGTCACCAAAATGCCGCCTCGGTGCCGTCGCACGGCCCCTTGGGAGCCCGCGGAGGCTTGGCGCGTTGACGAAACGAGTACCTGCAGTTGAGCGTGTTCCTCCAGCAGGCGGTCGTACTCCGTCGCCACGCCCTCCGCCTGCGACTTCATCGCCCTGCACTCGTTCTCGGAGCGAACCAGCCCTGGCACAGAAGGAGGCGACAATTTCGTGACAGGCGCTGGCGATTTGTGCTGCTTCATCTAAAGCCACGCGGTCCGGCGACACGACCGGCAACAAGTAACGACTATCCCAGAGTCCCATTTGCTGGCCTCATTAACTTGAGCATTAACAACAACACGACCTCTACGCCTTGCGCGACATCGATAGGCCGGACCGTTCAGCCCGGCGGAGCCTGTAGTGCACAGTACAGGAAGCAGGTTCAACACGCATTTGTGCAAAGGTTGAGTGGTGTTGCAGTGGCTTTTCTCCGGGGGTTCCTGCCACAAGTAAAACACATTTATTGATGAAAGAGAACAATCTGGAAGACGTCCGTTGAAAGCCAAGTCAAGCCACTGCAGCTGGAGACCACGACGCACATTCCCCGTGCCCGGTCCGAGCGGCGTGACTCGCCGGTTCTCCCAGCCCCCTCTGGGATTGCACGTGTCGTCTCCCCAGGCCGTACCTTTCTTCGCTTTGTCCAAATTCTCCTTGGCCTCTTTGAGCTCCCTGGAAAGTTTTTCTTTCTCGTCCGCCAGTTTGAGCACGCCATCTCCCGCGCCCGACTCTTCGAGAGCCTAAACTCGCGCGACGATGACGAGCGTGGGGGAGGGGGGGTGAGGGACGAGGTTAGGGTAACACCAGGGCTCATCGTGAACAGCGGCGTCTGCCGTCTGCATCGTCTCTCAGGCACCAGCGAGGTGGCTAGGAGGGGGCAGAGTGGAGTGTCACTGCCTCCTGTGCGTGGTGAGAGTTAGCCAAGGATTGTCAGGTTCCCTCCCGCGCGAAGCCTAACGCTTACGAATGGAATTTGCAAGACAACAGCATGCAAGGGCTCTTCTGCATAAGAGTCTTGACACTCAGTGAGGTTTTATCCCCGGGTAGTAATCTCGTTATCACCTTCACAATCTCCAATGAAGAAATGCCAACTCGTAAAAAACACACACTCGTACATATCCTGTTGATCAGCTGGCCCTGTGGTCAGTTCCTAAATGTCAACGGTTTAACCATGACTCTGAAAGCGCCCGTGAAAGCAACGATGTGTATTTAGGACAGGGTTCAGGTTTCCTGAATTCTGGTTGGGTACTGCTGTGCTCGGAGCATCGCATGCCAAGCGGAAGAGCGAAAAGTTCAATGCTGGGGTGAACTCGGTGCACAATACATGCAGGGCTAATAAAAGGAGTTCCACTTTGTGGGAACTCGAACAGTGGATGTTGGTGAGGGAGCCTGGCTCCTGACACCGACATAGAATCAGCGCACCTGGCTCATAATGGCCAAAAGTGCTGCCGAATGCACGTTGGAGCAAGGAGACAGGTCTTGGGCCCTTCACCTCTCAAGGCTTTCTCGACCAAGTAATAAGCGCAATTTACAGTCCTTTCTAAATCCACTGCTGGATGAAGGCTTCCCAATGCCGTGTCTGTCATGGGGATCTCCTTTCACCGTACTTCACCACGCTGGTCGGTGCGGGCTGGCGAAGGGAGGGCCTGCCCATGACCAATTTATAAATCACTCGCCACCAAGGCCAGCCATGGCTGTGAAACGAACTCGGGTTGGCAGGTTCAACAGCTCGGCAGCTCGGCAGCGCGAGCCACCGCTCCACCCCGTCCCCCGCTATTGCGCAACGCGGCGGCGAGTGACAGTGGCATGCCGACGACGTAGGGTCAGGGCGGGGCAGGGGACCTGTTTCAGCTTCTCGTTCTCGTCCATGAACTTCCTGGCCGCGTCGCTCGCACCCTCCGCCTGCTTCTTGAAGGCCTCGTTGGTGGCCACCAGCGTGGCCTGCTGCGAGATGAGGATCACGAGACGGCGCAGGACGCTGAAAGCGGCACAGGGTGGGGGGGGGGGGGGGGGGCGCACACGCGTCAAGCAACAAGCACAGGCGCACCGATTAGCGATAAGTTTCCATCTGTGTGCGAGGCATCTCGCAATTGACCGCCGTCGTGTGAACCCGTCACGATGAGACTCGTGAATCGCTGATCTGCCACTGCGGTGAACGCTGTCTCTACATGAACCGATTACATACAATCTGAAAGCATGCGCGTCAGGCCAATGACTTATTCCAACAATCAGGCATATTTTCTAAAACTATGCATTAGATAGTCACCTTGAGGATGAAACCTGGTGGCGGCCATGCACCGTTGTAATGCAGCACTGTGTAGCCAGCGAGGGTTGGTGGATAGCATAACTAACTGAAATTCACTCCACTCAGGGGATCGAATTGCAAGGGAACGGCAGTAAAGCAAGTGGGTTCATTTCCATATTTTCGGGGCTTGTTACCCCCCTCGCTCATGTGGGTTTTGTCCTGATATTCTAGATTTGAAGCTTTCGTGACTGCAAGGATTCATATTATTAGGTTTTTTCGGTAAAGTCACGTAGGTAAAAAAATTAAATTAATAAAAGTAAAATAAAAAAAATAAAAATCACGAAGTTTCGGAGGCAACACAAGCTTCCGCCTTCAGGGGGAACCGTCACAGCACGACTGCTGCATCAACTTTTATTAATTAAATAATGATAGATAATTTTTTTTAATAATTATTAATTTAAATTTTTTTACCTACGTGACTTTACCGAAAAAACCTAAGAATATTTGTCCTGATACTCCGATTTCCTCGCACGCCCACACTCGTGAACGGTTTGGCCACACCTCCCAGGCAGCTGATGGCAGCGCCGGTTCTGGCTGCCCTGCCGCTTGCCCGCGGATTGCCTCCGAGCGGAAGCTGCACGCGTCACAAAGCCTGCGGCGAGGCGAGTTGCGACGTGCATCAGCGACGCTCCGTTCCAATTAAAAATAAATTAACTACCGCGATGGCTCGACGGAGAGGCTGCCTCATTCGTGGCACCGCCCGCGTATACGAGGGCACCGCCGCACGTGGACGTCCCCGCCGAGGGCCTCTCTTCGTGACGACGCGTCGCCCCGACGGCGGTAAAGGTCTGACGCGGTTCCGTCTGTCCCGCGCGCGAGCGACGCTTACAACCAGAGCAGCAGCGCGAAGCCGGAGATGTAGAGGTTGCGCTGCGCGCGGAAGAGCTTCATGTTGACGTGGTCGATGGCCATGGGGTTGTTCTTGAGGTCCACGTTGTCGCTGGTCGAGTACTTGCGCGACTCGCGCCATCCGTCTGTGGCACAGCGCGCGGGCGGAATCGTCGCAGTGAGCGGGGGATCTCTACGCCGCTGTACGGCACGGCACAAGCGGGCCGCGTGGCGCTGCGGTTCAAAGCCCTGCCGGGTCGCTGAAGGCTATCGCCGTCATCCCTCGACGGGGGCGAACAAAACGAGTTACAATTTTTTAAAGGAAGATAACAGTCAGTTTAACACGTAGGCTTTCGCGACCAATATTATTCATAATCAACGATGTTTGGGTTAGATGGCAGTTATTTATAAATGTGTCGTAACCCTCCACCACCCGACACGGCCAATCAGTAAAAAATTAACCCGTAAAAACAAAGTTTTTCACTATAAATCCTTTATATGCGTGGCATCGGTTGTATTTTATTATTCATTTCTGTTTTTCTACAAGAAAGATCACCTCTTGACATGCCCCGTATATTCCCGAGGGCACTAGCGTTGACCCGTTTTACCACTTTCAAGAACCTGGCGGCTTCAATGTAACTGCTCTATAAATAGTCAACATTGTACAGCGTGGGGGCAGGGATTTCATGCCATGTGGTTAGTCAACATTTGCGTCATCATGAAACGGGCGGCTAGTCCTCTCGTCCTCTGGCTTGAGATGGCTGCCACCTATGGGTCAGATGATTGTCTGCCACCATTAAGCAATTGGTAATGAAATATTTTAAAAAAAATTCCCTAAACAGTGTAAAATTTTGGAAAAAAATTTTCACGAAAATTAATTGTCACGCACAACGAGTCTGTGTGGAAAATGTCAGCTCAATTGGATCACGGGAAGTGGGGTAAAAAACGACCGAAAGATTTGCACGGTCGTAAGCAAGCACGCAAGCACCCAAGCAAGTGAACTTAATATAAAGGATTTAAAAAAGCGTCATGTTGACAAAAGACAAAAAGTTCACGACTTTAGCCCACCGGTGTGTTGAAGAGTGAAACCACAACATTAACAATTTTTTTGAGTAGTACGACGTTTCGCTGGTAATTGCATCCAGCATCATCGGGGCAATTGTAAATGTTGTGGTTTCACGCTTCGACACACCGGTGGGCTAAAGCAGTGAACTATTTGTCTTTTTGTCAACGTGACACTTTTTTGCTGATTGGCCGTGTCGGGTGGTGGAGGGTTACGACACATTTATAAATAACGCGATCTAACCCAAAAATCGTTGATTATGAAGACAACAGTGTTTGTAAATCCCGTCACAGGAACGTGGAATTTCCTCCACTTAAACCCAGGGGTTGCCGATGGCAGAGAGCACTGCCCGGTGCCCGTTTGCCACGGGGGACGACGTGGGCCTGGCCCCGCGCCCCGGCCGCTCGTGCTCGCTGCTTGCACCAGCACAACAGCAGCTGTCACTCGCTCACCGATGAACAGGAGCACGAGCACGAGGATGAAGACGTTGAAGTAGAAGTTAGCGTAGTTCACCACGATCGTGAGCATGCGCGACCGGAATATCTTCTGCCATCTACAAAAACACGCAGGGGCACGGACAATTTTTACACGTCAACATCTTATTTTTTTTTCATCGATGACAACTCCAACCACGCGATTGCCGTCTAGGATAGATCGTCAGAGTAGCCCACGGGAGCCACGCGGATATGTGTGGATACCACCTGAGATTGTGAACAAAAATGATTTGTGTGTATTTTATGGTACATAACTGGTGATAAGTCACATCGCGAGGTCATCACAGCTAATGCGTTGGCGCTACCACACCTTGCCATCGTCGGTTGCCTTCTGCTAGATCCTACAACTGTTGTGATTCTACTTGATTTGACGCTTTCAGTGACTGCAGGAATCCACACTGTTTGGTTCTATCGGTAAAGTCACGTAGGTAGAAATAATGTTGCGATCGAAACGTCGTGATTTGTTTATTATTTAATTTCTAACTACTGTGACTTTACCGAAAGAACCTAAGAGTATCGTGATTCTTGACAACCGTTATATATACGCGTGTTAGAAACTCCACTGGTTTGTTGGGCTCTACGTCAATAAAACCCATGAGTATATTACGTCACGCGGAGTTGAGTAAGGGCTCAATTTGTACCGGATGGATCCTAGGGAACTTTGGTATCGGTGACGAGCGATGTGTGAACGATTCGAAGGTGACCAAAACGCCGCACCTGGGGTGTTACACCACGCTAATCGCGGTGAGTGGTGGTGCCACCGATCAGAGAGAGAGAGAGCAGGGGACCTCATGCACAAAGCGATTGGGCGGGCGGTAGAGGGCGCAGCCAAATGACGCTTGAGGTCACTCGTGTTGCACTATGTATGTTGAACTTCTTTCGCACCGACTTCTGAGCAAGGCGGCTCAGAGGTGGGAGCGCTGATTCGGCACCACTGAGATCCTGCGTTTCAATCCAGGCTCAAGCTGCGTGTGGTTAAAACGAGTTCTCATGTGCGGCGAATTGATGGTCTTCCCCGCCTAGTTCACCAATGATTGCACAAACAGAGATGGGCATCACATTTTGCTCTGCACTGAGTTTGGCTAAATTCCAGCTCTGAAAATTAAAATATCGGTTTTGTTGCCACGCAATGAACTTTATTCTCAGAGTTGGTAGGAAAGTGCTGCCCTCTGTGTTGCAATCCAGATGTCACTTCAATTGATTTCAGATGGAGCTCCGCGGGCCGTTCTCTGCACTGCTGTGCGAGAGATCCGCGGGTACAGTTTGTGTCACGGCGTCACTCCGACAGCACAATTGGGATAAACTTAGGGAAACTCCAAAATCTTATATATTAATTCATACAAGCTAAGTATCCCTGTCTGGAGGGCAGGCTAGTACTGGCTTGTGGATGACAATGCTGTGAAAAGCAATGCAAGGGAGTGGCATAGTGTCGCTTAGCATATTAAATAACTACTCTTTTTTTCAAACAATCATTCACGAACGTCTTATCACCTGCTAGCGTCGTGGGGTCCCATTATCATCAGCCATCACTCACAGCACAGGTGCAAGAAAACACCACCGCTGTGGAAATGTTGCCATCAATCGGGCTAGAGCAATAGCACCCATACGAAACTCCTGTCTATTCGTTAGCATACATTAGTTGGCTTTATCCACAGCACAACTGAATAGGAACTGATCAAAATTTTAACCGCTGAAGGAGCTACCAATATTGGCATCTCCGTATGGCTGATTTTGATGCAGAGCAGTCGGCTAAAGTTTTACACGGAGGTGGTTGAGCCTGATAATTGCATCACGAGCAACGTAGAATGCCTCCTTCGTGTTGGTGATTCAGGCATCAGGTTGTTGTTCTAGGTTCCGTGGTTCTGTTCTGTGCGACGACAGTCGCACACCGGAGAATTTTTTATTTTCCATTTGTGCATCACGGCATCTGCATCTGCTGCCACGGTTTGTACGGACGTGGTTTAGGGTTGCCCATAAGCTTGTGAGCCCCGGAAAACCAGTGCGGCAGAGCCGTGCGTCGCACTTGTGGTGGAATCAGCAGAGGCCGCCCCTCCCCCCCCCAAGCAAACCACGAGCGTTATAGCCCAGTGAGAAGTTTATTTTCCAAGTTTTGGATGAACTTATCCCAAAATATTTCTGTAACACGGGAAATCGTCAGGCATTATCATCACTCTGTGTGTGTAGTTGGGGCGCTCGACTGCGTTTAATAGAGCGAATGTTTACGTGAAAGAAAAAGTTAAACGTTTAAAGTGAATGATGAAAACTAAATCGGCACTGTATTTATGTAGTCTTGTGCTACACTGTATTCACCGCAAAGCTGCGTTGATGCTGCCTGAAGATGGATTAACTCCAAAATACTTTCCACAAAACTGAGAAGTTAAGAGAGGCAAAAATCTAAAACGATAACACTTTGATCTCGTTTAACTATTCACACCCCCCCCCCCCTCCACTGTGGCGAGGCTGGGCCCCGCCTGGGAAGAGTTCAACGTCCACCCAGCGGCTCAAGGTTATCAACGGAGACGCCGCTCGCAAACACCGTTCACCTGCGTTCCGATTAGACAGGGCGCTCACCGTGTGGGAGAGATGAACGGGAGGCACAGGACGATGATGATGAAGACCTCGAAGTAGAGGAACGACGCCACGGCCGTCCACTGGAGGCTCATGGTGGCTCACAGTCGGCTCCGCTCGATCGGCTCCGCGTCACGGCACCGTCCTGCGCCACAGCAAAGGGGAGTCCGCCGTGCGATTGGTGGGCCAGGTCACGTCGTGAACTCCCGCCACACACAAACACCGGCCTCGTCCAGCAAACGCGATATTTCACAGGCGTGGCCGAGATTGGCGTTCCGGCAGTTGTATCTGGGATGCAGCTCTCGGTATATATCTCTCGCTGCCACGAACACCGTTCCGCATCTGTACGAAGCTGTCCACGTCATTAATGATTCTGCTCCAACCGCCCTCATTATCATGGTTTCCTTCTCATCTCCACCACAAGCAATATCAGAGTTGTCACTGCAGCCACTCTCTCGTCCTTCTGTCACTGCTATTGCCTCGGTCTCACAGTCGTCGCCACAGCTATTGTCAGTGTCAGTCTCCTCCTTGTCTCTCTGCTCCTGCTTCTTTCGTAGTCACTGCTCTCAGGAGCCGCGTCCCCAAATTCTGTCTCCGATCTCCGCGGCGCGTTCTCCACACTCCTCTGCTCCACGCTGTGCGCATCATCCCTCACCCTTCCTCCCCCTCCTTGGATGTTTGTCCAACTTCTTTCGCACCATACGTAGCCCACCGTGCCCCTCCCCTTGCTCCTCTTCACTCACCGCTCGCCCACCTGGGCTTTGGAACTCTGTTCTTTCGTCTGTCCCTGCAGCCTCATAGCTCACCGCTTCTCACTGCACACGTCGATTGCATTGGTCTCTGCCGACGCAGCCGATTTAAAACATGACAAACCTCTTGCAGACAAAAACAGCACGTGAAAAATTCAACAACCCTCTCCATCTGAAGCCACTTCCCTCAGGCAACAGCCTCATCATCACGGTGCTATTCGCAGACCAATATTCCTTTGAAGAAATAAGGGGATTCTTAGAATTCTTACAATGCACTTAGCTATGTACTGTACAACGCTTACAAGCTCAGCAGAGCTAAAAACCGCACTTTCAACTGTGGTCACTCTGTTCCTCGTCTCTGTATCGCAATGCCCAGAATTCGGAACACTGACGCTAGAGCAATGGTGGGCAATCCGGACGAGCGGCCCTCCTTCACCTCAGTGGGCCGCGTCACATCACGACCCCACGCGTCGCCCCCAAGACACACCAAGACCAGGCCACTTCGAGGGGCTCCACGGGAAGCAGACTGCACACCACTGAACTAGAGCTTCCGCAGAATTACCCCGAGTGAAAGGAGCATCATTGATTTGTCGAGTCGTTGTGCGTCTGATATTTGCTTCAGTGAAAGGTTAACGGCGACGAGCGAGCATTGCGGCAGCGCAGCGATCATGGTGAGAGCGCGACTCCCAAGAGCGCTGGGGTAGGAGAGGAGCGGAGACGGCACCGGATGGGAGCACGTCTGTGCGCGCCAGAGGTCGCAATCGGGTACCCGATAGCCGTACCCTACCTGATACTTGGCTACCCGTACCCGGCCGGGTACGGGTACAGGTACCCGTTTGCGACCCTGGTGCGGCCGGGTACGGGTAGGCCGTGAGTCATTGGTGAGTAACCGTTTGTCACTCATTTCGGGTAGGGTATGGGTAGGGTACGGGTACCCATTTGCGACCCTGGTGCGGCCGGGTACGGGTACGGGTACAGGGTAAGGAATCAAAACCCGTTTGCGACCTCTGGTGCGCGCGTTATCCGGCAACGGTGGACAGGCGGGCTTGCGCACTGTGCTACGAAGTTATGCGCCCAGTGTACATCCAGCAAATTAGTTGGATTCCCAGCCATGGCTATCAGGTGGGCGAGTGACATCGAAATCCTGTACTGGGCCTAACCTAGGTTGACTCAACCTTAATCGAGTTCTTGGTGCAGGGTGTAAACATCAGCACTGGGGCGACAAAGGAGGCTGGGAATGGTGCCGTCCTTTTACTGTTCACTCCGCCATGCGTTTGCCAAGTATTCTTTCGTCCAGGACAGAAACATAATACTCATGTGCAACACGACTTTAATGCGGTGAATCAAATCATTAAGCACTCATCACTGCAGCATTCATCATTCTTCCAGAAAGTAGCAAGTTCGTGCATTACATGATGCATAGGTATGGGGGGAGTTAGCAGGGTTTTTTACGTTAAGCCATCCTGGCAAAAAAAGTTAAACAGATGAACAACTGGCCATTCCCACCCGACGTTACTCTTCCTGTTCTAGCCACCACCTGTGAATTCCAGCTCAAGCGTATTGAGATCGGGCCTATCACACGCCCACATCCGGCTATCACACACCAAAACTTGGATAGGCACCACTGTCGTGGCACCAAACAAGAACAGCACAACACTGTTTTTTATGCACTGCTCTCTGCTGTCCACCAATCAACCCCACCGCCTATAATACCTATCATGCATGGTGTTGGTCTCCAAGCGTAACCAGACACATCAGGACTTCGCACCCCAGACGGCGGCATTCGGGGTGATTTGGTCAAAGGCCATCTGCTGTGAGCCTCATCTAAACGAACGGAGGGGTGGGGCGTTCTGGCCTAGAAAAAAGTTGACAATGCTAAATGACTCGGGCTAAACGCAGTGCCAAGAGCTCCGCCAATGGGACGAGACGGCCACTCAAGCTGATGAAATCCCCGCAATCGTGACGATGCCCTCCCTTCCTTGCTGGCATACGCTCGGCACTCACAAGAGCTCGGCCCGCCCATCCCCTTCAGTACAGTAGGCGATGTGGCAGTCAGCTCAACTCTCTCCACGCCCTCTGCTGCTCCGCACCGCCTCTTACCGACACGGCCAAGGGCCAAGCACAGACACCCACGTGCGCGCAAACTCCACAGCCTCCTGTCACGGATGTCACCAGAGCACAAGCACATGCCAGCAAGAACACAGGGGGTGGGGTTGGGGGGGAAAGGAATTATCCGTATAATTACATTTCAGTGGGGAATGTTGACGGAGGTTAGCAAATGGAAATGACGCAGCGGCACAGAATGCGTAGGATTCGGTGGGACTGCCTTAGATGGTCACACGCTAAGACTCCTCGGTAGGGCAGGGCGCGTGGTGCAATCACGATGGCTTGTTGAAAATCTGTTACTGGAACCTTCTTAAGAGCAATTACTTCATAACCATTGCTCTCGATTGAAATCCCAACACACTGGGCACCACAGCGATTATCAGGTAAAAACACCCCGTACATACAGAGTGATGGAGCGGAGACGAGAATTAAGCAACACGATTTGTGTGTACACAGGTTCTAATCTAAACCGCATCTCTGGATGTCGCACAAAACATCGCGCTGTGAGGCATGTTCATCACAGGGCAGGTGTAAATGGCACTGCATTGTTGCAAGAGATGGCACTGTCATAGAAAGAGAAGAAACAACACACCGACGTTGGGACAAGCCGAATAACGGAAAAACAAGAGGCGTAAATGGAAATTCACATGAAAGTCAGAGAGCCACCGTCTCTTTCCACAAGCCAACGAAGCAGCACTCGTCTCAGTCGTGTGCCAGTGGCGGAAATTCCACAGTCCTATGGCAGTGGCAACTTCATCCACAATACAATCACGGCTGTTGATTTCCCACAACAAAGGTGACGCTCGATTTATCACCACACCGAGGGGCGATGGACTGCAAGCGATGCTATATGCAACATAGAATAGACGAGATGCGGTTTTAGTCTGGGGTGAGCGGAGAGATGTTGTTAAAGTTTCAAGTTTTTCACGTTTCATGTATTAGGTATAGCCCTGTGAGCCATGCGGCTCTTGAATTGGGTGCAACCGCAACAAACTAAATATGAACGGAGAACATCTTAAAGCGACGACGACCAACAGAAACATCCTGGATAAACCAGCAAATCTTCCAGAAAAAAACCCACCGTATACGAACGCTGTGTGCAAAAATCCCAGTGTGATGCAAGTCAAACGATAACAACCATAAGGCAATTTAGATTAAAGTTATCAGTCTTAACCAAGTTTTCGAAATCACCAAAATAAAGCTATAAAACAATGTAACAACAGTAATCATAGGAACTGTGATTCAAAGGGGGGGCTACCAGGGGAAATTCTGTCCATGACAGATTGCACAATGGGGTAATCAGAATCAGAATATTTATTTAAACTGGAGGAATCCGATGAGCTATGAAGCTCTTTTCACAGATGCCCAGTCTAATGGTACTGTGTACCGAGCCCACCACGTGACGTGCACTCAGCACAGCGCTCGTGGCATCCGCTACGGCACATGGGAAATTAAAAACTCTGTCTCGACCGTCGACCCACAGGATCAGGGATCACCCCTGCACTACGTGGCGTTTTTGTGAAGCAATAACCCGAGCCGACTCCCCAAAACTCTCACTTTAAATTATCATCGTATTCTTGTGCATGGCAGTGTGTTCAGGAGCTGAATATCAACGACGCGAGGTCTCCACGACTGGGAGGGCTTCACGGAGTTTGTTTGAAGTAGCGCAGTCTACAGTGGGCTTTACGAAAAGGTCCTTGCTTTGGGTTGCATTGCCACAATGGCACTGCTGAGGCTTGTCTTTAATTCTCCAATTACACATCATCATTACGATTGTTTACCCGGGAAAGCCTCACCGAGTCTCACGACTCATTTTCATGAGGGTTCTGCCAAACTTTTGCAGTGTGGGGGGGGGGGGGGCAACGCCTGGTAGGGTAACATTCTTAGTCATTTTTGGTGACTTTTTCAAATGTGTACCATGACACCGGCAACACCGTGGCATACTTGTACTAAAAACCCTGCGGTTGACGATTAGGGACCCCCGATTCAAGAATACGTTTTAGTTCGTTACTGTAATCTAATTTCCATTGTCTCGCGTTCAATTCACTCCATGAGCCTACATGCAACATGATTCGGGCACAATTAGCATACATCCGAAAACATGGCGATTCTTACAAACTTGCCTTTTGCCCTTCCAAGGACGGGTGTATTGCACTAAATCAGAAACTTGCAAGCGAAAATCAGACCGCATCATTGTGTCTGCAGTTTGTAAGGTCGCGGTGACAGACTTATTTCATTTTAAGGTTATAATCCCTTGTTCATCGTGACGTCCTTTTTACCTTGATGTCTCAATGGCGTCACGGAGATCACGTGACGTGAGAGGGTTCAGCCTTTGTAGTGAGGGTTGTGAGTTGACGCCGAGGGGGGAGGAGGCGCCTCGACCCCCCATGTGGAGTGACGTCACCCGCTAATTATTATTAATGAGGGGGGGTGTCCATTTGGAGGACGAGGGGTGAGGGTGCTGCATGTGTAGTGACGTCACCTGCTCATGATTATAATGGGGGGGGGGTGTCCATTTGGAGGACGTCACCTGCTCATGATTATTAATGAGGGGGGCTGGTCGACGTGGAGTGACGCCACGAGCGTTGTACACAGACATTCTTGGCTAGGTAATAATAATGGGGGGGGGGGGGTCCATGTGGAGGACGTCACCTGCTCATGATTATTAATGAGGTCAATATGGAGTGACGTCACGAGCGTTAAGGACACAGACATTCCTGGGTGATCATAGCAGGTGTGCCATTCCACGCACGTGTGGGGAGACAGCATGGGTATCCACGCCATCAGAGGTGGCATTCTGATTAAAGCACCCGGACCTCGCCTGACCTCGCCTGACCTCGGGAGGAGCCGAGTCGAAGCCTTTCATGTCGGCCCACCTCCCATCAGCGAAGAGGCGTTGCAAGGCGACCGCACGGCTACCGTGGGCGACTCGTCGGAGTCGCACGGACGACTACGTACGGTGGAGGTCCACCCATGCCGCATGCCGGACATGCCCTCGCCACCGACACAAAGCGCCCTGACCAGCTTCGTTGAAGTTCAGTCAAATGACCGCTACGGCGTGGCGAGGCCCTGATGGGAACGAGGAGGAGGAGGAGGGGGGTAGTGGCTGTACACAACGCGCGTGGCGGAGCCTGGGAGGGTTTCACGTTTCACGGTGGCGGGCTGCAGCCGCAGGGGGGCCACGTGACATGGGGAGCCACGTGACACTGGGGGGGGGGGCACGTGGCCGCTACGGCTGCAACTTCGAACTCAACTCGAGCTGCATCTTCAAGGGCTCGTAGCCATTCTCCGTCTCGCTGCCAAAATGAGCGTGGCCCTGAGGTCGCAACCGGGTACCCGATATCCGTACCCTACCCGATACCCGGCTACCCGTACCCGGCCGGGTACGGGTAAGGAATCAAAACCCGTTTGCGACCTCTGGCGTGGCCCCAAAAAGCGAGTGGTGGAAATTCGACATTCCCGCGGCGAGACCTGCTCAATGCGCGCCGGGGCCGCAACCGCGCGGAGCGTGCCTCGCTTTATCCTCCCCCCCCTCCTACATGTTGATGATGGGCTGAGCCGCCAGCATCTGCACGTCCCTCGGCCGAGGTCTCGTTTCGTCGCGACCCTCACGGCTCATCGCGAATGCAACGAGGGGAGGAGGAGGGGAGGCCTCGAAAATGGAACCACGCGCGCGCCCATTGGGGGAGTTTGATGAGAGTGGCCATCTCGTCCTCGTGTCGAGAGACGTCTCGGGCAGACCCCCTCTGCAGGAACTCACACGGCAAAGTCGTCGCTGCTGCTGTACTACTACTGCTGCTGCTGTACTACTGCTGCTGCTACTGCACTACTACTGCTGCTGTACTACTACTACTGCTGCTGCACTACTACTACTGCAGCTGTACTACTGCTACTGCACTACTGCTGCTGCTGTACTACTACTGCTGCTGTACTAATACTGCTGCTGCTGCTGTACTACTACTGCTGCTGTACTACTACTGCTGCTGTACTACTACTGCTGCTGCTGGACTACTGCTGCTGTACTACTACTGCTGCTGCTGTACTAATACTGCTGCTGTACTACTACTACTGCTGCTGTACTACTACTGCTGCTGTACTACTACTGCTGCTGCTGTACTACTGCTGCTGCTGTACTACTGCTGCTGTACTACTGCTGCTGCTGTACTACTGCTGCTGCTGTACTACTGCTGCTGCTGTACTACTACTGCTGCTGCTGGACTACTGCTGCTGTACTACTGCTGCTGCTGTACTACTACTGCTGCTGTACTACTACTGCTGCTGTACTACTACTGCTGCTGTACTACTGCTGCTGCTGGACTACTGCTGCTGCTGCTGTACTACTGCTGCTGCTGGACTACTGCTGCTGCTGCTGTACTACTGCTGCTGCTGCTGTACTACTACTGCTGCTGTACTACTACTGCTGCTGTACTACTGCTGCTGCTGGACTACTGCTGCTGCTGGACTACTACTGCTGCTGTACTACTACTGCTGCTGTACTACTACTGCTGCTGGACTACTGCTGCTGTACTACTGCTGCTGTACTACTGCTGCTGCTGTACTACTACTGCTGCTGTACTACTACTGCTGCTGTACTACTACTGCTGCTGTACCACTACTACTACTGCTGCTGTACTACTAATACTACTGCTGCTGTACTACTACTGCTGCTGCTGTACTACTGCTGCTGCTGTACTACTGCTGCTGCTGTACTACTACTACTACTGCTGCTGCTGTACTACTACTGCTGCTGTACTACTACTACTACTGCTGCTGTACTACTACTGCTGCTGCTGTACTACTGCTGCTGCTGTACTACTGCTGCTGCTGTACTACTACTACTACTGCTGCTGTACTACTACTGCTGCTGTACTACTACTACTGCTGCTGCTGTACTACTACTGCTGCTGCTGTACTACTGCTGCTGCTGTACTACTACTGCTGCTGCACTACTGCTGCTGCTGTACTACTGCTGCTGCTGTACTACTGCTGCTGCTGTACTACTACTGCTGCTGTACTACTACTGCTGCTGGACTACTGCTGCTGCTGGACTACTGCTGCTGCTGTACTACTGCTGCTGCTGCTGTACTACTACTGCTGCTGTACTACTGCTGCTGCTGGACTACTGCTGCTGCTGGACTACTGCTGCTGCTGGACTACTGCTGCTGCTGGACTACTGCTGCTGCTGGACTACTACTGCTGCTGTACTACTGCTGCTGCTGGACTACTGCTGCTGCTGGACTACTGCTGCTGCTGTACTACTGTTGCTGCTGGACTACTGCTGCTGGACTACTGCTGCTGCTGGACTACTGCTGCTGCTGGACTACTACTGCTGCTGTACTACTACTGCTGCTGCTGTACTACTGCTGCTGCTGTACTACTACTGCTGCTGCTGGACTACTGCTGCTGCTGTACTACTGCTGCTGCTGGACTACTGCTGCTGCTGGACTACTGCTGCTGCTGGACTACTGCTGCTGGACTACTGCTGCTGCTGGACTACTGCTGCTGCTGTACTACTACTGCTGCTGTACTACTGCTGCTGCTGGACTACTGCTGCTGGACTACTGCTGCTGCTGTACTATTGCTGCTGCTGTACTGCTGCTGCTGCTGTACTACTACTGCTGCTGCTGTACTACTGCTGCTGTACTACTGCTGCACTACTGCTGCTGCTGTGATGGTGGTGGTTGTAGTGCAAACCCACCCTCAGCACGTCTACAACACAGCGCGGCCTTCACAGGACGACACGACAAGGCCACGTGTCTGGCAACAGCTCGGCGCCATCTGTGCGAGGCCACTGCCCCGAAACGTCGCGCCTGTGCTTTACATTTCCCTTTTAAGGTCCGACGCTTCGAGTTAGCGCACAAAAAAAGGTTTCGGAATCGAATCGCATCGCGGAATCGCGCTCGACTATCGGAATCGATGCGGGGTTGAGGGGAGTGTGTGCGCATCTACATCGATACCCACGCGTTCCCCGATTCCAGAATCGACACGATGAGAATCGGTGCGCGAATCGATTCCACCTTCACCCTCTCAGGCGAGTGTGAGGGGAAGAGACGCGCCGAGCGATGGCGTCAGATCTCGCGGCAGGAGAGCGGCGAGTCTGCGGTGTGTGTGGGGGGGGGGGAGACTCACGCTAGAGCCTCCTGCTGCTGCTGCTACTGCTGCTGGTGCTGCTGCTCCACTCGCAAAGCCGCTCTCCTCCCACTCCCTCACGGCCGTCCTCCGTCTCTCTCCGCGAGCTGCACTCACCGGAACTGAGTTCAATGTCGAGATCACGTCACTGGTTTTTTCCTGGCATGACGTCAAAAATTTTTTTTTGGCATGACGTCATCCTTATAGTCCACCAGCCGGTGACGTAGTACGCCCCCGAGACTGCTCCCGTCGCAAAGCAGGGGGGGCCGGAGCTTGACGTGACGTCACGGCGATAGTGCAGACGGCTGTGACGTCATTTTATCGGATTGTAGGTGACGTCACAAAGCGGCAAGGCGTTGGGTTCATATTCTTAGGTTTTTTCGGTAAAGTCACGTAGGTAAAACATCAAAATTAATAAAAATAAAATAAAGATCAAAAAATAAAATATTTAATTTTTTATTAATTTTGATGTTTTATCAACGTGACTTTTCCGAAAAAACCTAAGAATATGAATCCTTGCAGTCACGAAAGCTTCAAATCTAGAATTAATGCGTTGGGTGTTGCGTCGATGTGTCGACGATACGGGGCGGACCCAATGACCCGCACAAAGTAGTCGGTATTTTATCGGCCGCTAGAGGGATTGTTGAACGAAGTTGACCTCCCCGATTTGGATTTCAACTCTCAACCTTTCCAGATGGATTCACCGTCGCGCTATATGGGGCCGTCCATAAATGACGTCACGCGATTTTGGACGATTTTTGACCCCCCCCCACTCGTCACAAAAAGTCAGACTCCCCTCAAATATGACGTCACAAATCTCTGCCCCCCCCCCCCCCCAAAACCATATTTTCATTTAGAAAATAAACATGCTTCAAATCGCTGTAAACTATTGTCATTGTAGCGCGTATTTACTGTGGCGCTGCACTCTGATGTTGCAGGAGAAAACATTTATTAAAAAGTCTATTTTATTAAGTAAAACGTGTTTCGATTTAAAGCTTTCGTGACTGCAGGGATTCATCTTCTTGGTTCTTTCGGTAAAGTCACGTAGAAGGGAAGTAATAAAATAATAAAAATAAAACATTATATTATTTTAATATGTTTTATTTTTATTATTTTATTACTTCCCTTCTACGTGACTTTACCGAAAGAACCAAGAAGAAGATAGAACGTGTTGTCTAAATTTATTTAAAGTTGCGCATTTTGACGTGACGTCACATTTCTCAACCCCCCCCCCCCCTCGTCACATCGTCACAAATGTTTGACCCCCCCCCCCAGATGCGTGACGTCATTTATGGACGGCCCCTAAGATCGTCTTACATTTCCCCATTGAGCAGTGGCTCTAAACCTGGGGGGGGGGGGGGGGTTGCACGCTGCATCCCCTGGGGGTGCGAGATGCCCTTTCTGGGGGTGCGAGACGTGGCCAGAAATGGTTTAGAAACTAAATAAGCGAAAACACAAATGAAGGCACGGCCACGTAAGCACAACTAATTTGTGTAATCGAACTCTGCGTATTAAACATTTTACTTTTTTTTTACGATCGAGAACTAAATGGGGGTGCAGGGCTGCAGTGAATGTCAAGGACCGCTGCCCTCAAGGATCAACTGAATACGCCAAACTCTTCAGTCTCAGCCGCGACAATTCCCCTGGCATTTGAGACCCGCGAGACCAGCACCAGTGTCGGATCACTCATAAATGACGTCACGCACCTAGGGGGTCAGACATTTGTGACGATGTGTCAGAGCCGGCCCAGCCACTAAGCGACCCTTGCAATTGCAAAGGGCCCCGTGGCCAGCAGAGGGCCCCCTAGAGTCACTGCTAGCGAGTGGGTGAAAAAAATCATACATCAAAGGGGCCTCCAACCAAATTTTGCTTAGGGCCCCCAAAGGTCTAGGGCCGGTTCTGCGATGTGTGACGAAGGGGCTGGGGAGAAATGTGACGTCACGTCAAAATGCGCAACTTTAAATAAATATAGACAACGCGTTCTACTTAGTTAAATAGACTTTTAAATACATGTTTTCTCCTACAACATCAGAGTGCAGCGCCACTTTAAATACGCACTACAATGACAATAGTTTAAAGCGATTTGAAGCATGTTTTATTTTTTTGGGGGGGCAGAGCTTTGTGACGTCATTTTTGAGGGGGGGGGGTCTGACTTTTTGTGACGCCGTGTGACGAGGGGGGGGGGGGGGTAAAAATTCGTGTGACGTCATTTATGGACGGCCCCTTATAAAGGGGCTCTAATTTTTTTCAAAACACGTAAATATTAAAAGACGTTAAAATTTTACTTGAATGGAAAAGTGATTGTATTGTTTTTCATTTGCTATACAAGCCCGATAATACGACAAATCGTTAACCTTAAACACCCAGTCGTTCATAAAAGTTGAAGGCGGTATAGTGCTATAGTAATAGAGCAAGTGCAGAATCACTGAACTGGAATTGATAGCTTGAAAGCATTTAGCGCGGGGCACTTGAAAGTGTGGGGCCGTAGTAGCTGCACGTGTAGTGGCTACTACACATGTGCAGTAGCTACACATGTACCACTTGTTTATGTAGTAGCCAGGGGCGGTTTCTTCATTAGGGCGATTGGGCGACGCACCACTAATGTCATTCAACCACAGAGTCACGCTAGCCGTTATTGTGCCTCTGGATATAGTCCAATCAGCGTCATGTCACGTTTTGTGGAGTACCGCCTCTTTTTGGGCGATTTCACTCCGGCTGAGAATCGCCCCGAGTGGCCCCATAGACTTACATTCAAAGATGTTTTTTTTCGAACGGGGGCGCTGAAATGCATTCTCTATGGCTTCCGGGAGGGCTCGCCCTAGCGTGCTTACGTCATCATATGTGCTTACGTCATCATACGTAAGCACGTTTCATCCAACAATATAATTTGTGGCCACCTAGTGGAATCTTTAATAAAATAAACTTGAGTGGTTTGTTTTAATAGTGAGTATACAAACAAACAAGATGTATTGTAAGAGTCACTTTATTTTTCATTAATATTAAAGAAGTGAAGTTGCCTTTACATGCTTAAGCTGTTAATTTATCCATTGCATGGGTGGACCTTATCCTTATCAATCATCCAGACATTTGCCCCCCCCTGAGAGATTTTGCAGGAGCCGCCACTGGTAGTAGCTACACATGTGTAGTAGCTGAACGTGTAGTAGCTACTACATGTGTAACTGCTACATATATAGCTACACATGTAGTAGCTACACATTTAGTAGCTACACATGTAGTAGCTGCACGTGTAGTAGCTGCACGTGTAGTAGCTACTACATGTGTAGCTACTACTTGTGTAGCCGCTGCATTTGTAGCTACTGCATGTGTAGCCCCTGCATGTGTAGCTGCTGCATTTGTAGCTAATGCACGTATATCTACTACATGTGTAACTACATGTGTAGCTACTTGTGTAGCTACTACATGTGTAGTAGCTACTACATGTGTAGTAGCTACATTAGTAGTAGCTACTACTTGTGTAGCTGCTGCATTTGTAGCTACTGCATGTGTAGCTGCTGCATGTGGAACTACATGTGTAGCTACAACATGTGTAGTAGCTACTACACGTGTAGCAGCTACTACATATGTAGCTACTACTTGTGCTACCAGGATAATCCGGCACTGGGCAGTATCTGCGTGCTGGCAACGCGCTGTGGGTGGCCCCCGTCTGGGCCACGAGGTGGAGTAGCGGGAGCACCCGTTCCACGCTCATTGTGGACATGTCTCTGTTGAGATCATTCCCCTCCCCTCATCCCCTGGCCCCTTCTGTTCCATTCATTTTCCTAAATCACAGCCGAGGAATAGAGCTGAGTGTGTTTGAAACATTAACGAAGCGGCATTTTTCTGAATATTTTCAGGTCTGTGTCATTACTCGACAGAATAAAAAAAGTTTAAATATTAAAAAAATAAATGTTGCTGTGGAGTGACTGCAGCGTGAGTGAGTCTTGTGCCCAGAGACCCCCACAAGAGACCAAGGCTCTGAGCACGGTGACGCTTTGACATGGTGTGACACACTCCTGTTTGTGTACTTACGCATTTGTACTCGTGTTTTTATTTATTTTAGTGACTTGCTTACCTGTTCTCTATTTGGCACTCCTACCTTTGTTTTATATTGTTTATTGTTCAAAGTTCATTTATTAGGTATAGCACTGTGAGCCATTCGGCTCTTGAATCGGGTGCAACCGCAACAAACAAAAAAACATGAACAAGAAAACCTCTTAAAGTGACTACGTGCAAACAGAAAATCCAAGAAAAGACAGCAAAATATTGCAGAAAATCACCGTACACCAACCCTGTGCAAATATCCCAGTGGGATGCAAGTCAAACAACAATTGTTGTCATTTGCTCGCCTGCCGCCTACTGAACATCGGTGAAAAAAAGCTTCATAGCTCAACGGATTCCTCGTCCAGGATAAATGCCGATTCTGATTCTGCCGCTCTGCTCGTCACACCAGAATCAGAATCTCGATGTATCTCTCTGCTCATACAGAGATCCAGTGGCGGCTCCTGCAAAATCTCTCAGGGGGGGCAAATGTCTGGATGATTGATAAGGATAAGGTCCACCCATGCAATGCATAAATTAACAGCTTAAGCATGTAAAGGCAACTTCACTTCTTTAATATTAATGAAAAATAAAGTGACTCTTACAATACATCTTGTTTGTTTCAATACTCACTATTAATACAATCCACTCAAGTTTCATTTATTAAAAATTCCACTAGGTGGCGACAAATTATATTGTTGGATGAAACGTGCTTACGTATGATGACGTAAGCACGTTAGGGCGAGCCCTCCCGGAAGCCATAGAGAATGCATTGCAGCGCCCCCCGTTCGAAAAAAAACATCTTTGAATGTAAGTCTATGGGGCCACTCGGGGCGATTCTCAGCCGGAGTGAAATCGCCCAAAAAGAGGCGGTACTCCACAGAACGTGACATGACGCTGATTGGACTATATTCAGATGCACAGTGACGGCTAGCGTGACTCTGTGGTTCAATGACATTGGTGGTGCGTCGCCCAATCGCCCTAATGAAGAAACCGCCCCTGCAGAGATCACTACCGACGGTAGTTGGTGTGCACGACTCACCATCGAGATCATATCCAGCAAGGGGCGATTCAAACGAGCACCGCTTTGCGGGGGCATCGACGATGATCGG